TCTGGGAAGATGGGAGGAGACATTAGTTGTCATCAGGCCTTTTCTGGGCTACAGCTGATGACACATTGAGACTGGGAAGTGGGGAGTGAGGAAGGCTGCATCCCACCCGCCCGAGCCTGGGAATCCTTGGGGACGGTGTTCTAGGAAATGAATCCCACCCCCACTTTATGTCTTATGCCTGTGTTTCCCTGGGCCTTTGTGGCCACAGAGGCAGGCAGATGGCACATAGGAAGATCAGCCATTCTTTCCCTCTGCCTGGGTCTGCCCTGTGTGGTGTGCACAGTGGCTGTGGGAAGCGGAGGGACAGACCAGAGCTTTCTGTTTAGGGTCAGGCGGCTATTAACAGGCCCTCCTCCCAGGGCCTTGTTGAAATCACACCTTCATGCCCCCTTTTGGGCTCCGCCTGAACCCCTTGCGGATGTCCTTGTAGCAGCTCAGCCAGCAGTTTCCTCATCTTCCTGTCCCTACCCATCCTGCTCCCTCCCGTCCTGGCACCACGTCCCACGTGGCCTTTAAACAGGACCTGAGACCCAGAGAAGGGAAGCCCTCCCCAGCAACTGAGTGACCTAACTGTTGGATTTCTGCTTCCGTGGGCCACACACTGGCGTGACCTTTCTGCTTTCTGTAATGGTAATTGTCCCCCGCTTCTGGGATCACAGAGCTTCACTTCAGGGGTTTGTCTTCAGACTCATTGTCAATTCTGGAGGTGCCAGGGCAACTCTCCTTTACTCCACCTTTTTATATTAATAATAATTTTGCTCTCCTCTCTGCTGCAGAGTAATTGAGTCTGCTGCTCCATCACTCCCTCCTGCTTTTATGCTGGAAGATAAAACCCCGAATGTTTGTAATTTATGACCATGTCTTTTCTTCCACAAGGGCAGCCTGCTGAAGGAGGGAAAGTGTGTCCAGGGTCCAAGGACCAGGGTCCTGGTTGCAGCGGACAAGCCTTGGGCTGCAGGGAGCCTCATTGTTCATTGATAAAATGGGGGTGCTGATGAGCATCCTGACAGTGTGTTTACGGGCTGCTGCCAGTAGTTAGTGATCATGTGCAATAAAATCAAAGGCACGTGCGCTGCCTTATGCTGCTGTGGGAGCTGACGGCGCTTGTCACTTAGTGTGCTTCTGACAGGACCCCTTGGCACAAGTTCAGGTGCAAGGAAAGGGCAGGGTGGGCAGGAAAGCCATGATTGGCTGGTGGAGAGACAGGAAGAGACACAAGAGGGAGAGGCCCTGGGTTAGCAGCTCTGAGCACCTTTCTGGATGCATCCTTGGCCAGTGAATGGCACTGAGCACTAAAGAATGGATGGCCCAGAAAGCGCTGTGAGCCCTACCTGAACTTGGAGAAATCAAGAGTGTTAGTTGAATCTTTCTTTAAAAAGAAAGAAAGCAAGCAAGCAAAAAAAGAAACAACACAGGCGACCCCTGGGAGAAGGGTGCCCTATTAGTGAGGGGCCTGGTCTGTCACCCCACGCAGTAGAGTCCTGCCCCTCCCCCTTTCCGGCTCACGCCCTTCTTTCCTGCTCACTATTTCTTCTCTCCAGTAAAACCTCTAAATCTTTAATAAATTATAAACATGGTTTCTCGTCCATCTGCTGGCGCCAGATCTAAGTGCTGGCAGCTTTTTCCATTCCGCTCGTGTCCCTAATAGATCTCGCTGTTTGATTAATCATTTAGATCCCTCTCACAGAAAACCCCTGTCTGAGCCCACTCTCCTCAGGCGTCTAATTTTAAGGATTTTTCTCAGTCTCTCAGATTTTCGCTACCAGTGCCCAGTGGCGGTTCTCTCAATGCAGCTGTGGCCCCCCGCTTTGGGGCCATGGAGCCTCCTGCACAGGGCTCGGGGAGGTGGGCCCTGCCCAGCATCAACACCTTGGGCTCTTGTGCCTTAACCAGGGTGAGCTCACAGCTGGGACACTAGGGACAAGCACCAGCTCAAAAGTCAGGGGCTTGGGTTCAGCTGTCACAGTTCCTCACCAGGTATGTGACCTAGAGCGAGATTCTGAGCCTCAGTCTCCACATCTGTGGGTGCAGTTTCTCCAAGGCTGGTATGGGGGTCAGACAAAGCAAGGGATGAGTCAGAATGCAGGGAGCAAGGGCCGAAGGAGGAGACCAGACAGTCCCATGATCCAGAATGCCATGAGGTGCCATCTGGCTCCTGCTCTCCCCAACCCTCCCCAGCTCTGTGTGCACCGGGCGGGGAGCAGGGGGTGGTGGTGGGGGAAGAATTCCTGCCCTGTCTGGAGGGAGAACCTCACCCTTTATCCTGCAGGTGGGAAGTTTGGGCTGGGTCATCTCCAGGGCACCGCTTTTTTTCAACTTGATTTTGTGGTTCTAGACCATAAGCACTGAGCATCCTAAGGAGGCTGGGTCAGCCACGGTGTAGTCATGATAATAATAATGCTAGCAAATAATGACCATTTGCTTCGCCCATGTTACTCATCAGGTACTTTGCCCGCAGTATCTGCAGACTTCACAACCTAGAAGGGAAGTACTTATGGACATCTTACAGGTGGCAACAGAAGGCAAATGACCCACCCCAGGGCACACAGCCAGTTTTCAGCAGATCCAGGATTGAAATCAGCATCACAACCCAGGATCCTTTGTTGGACATGGATGCTGTGCTGCTCTGCCTTCCTCTTGCCTCTCAGTGCCCCTCACCTGCTGCTGGACCAGGCAGAACCACTCACCGAAGATGGCTTTCCAGCCTTTGCAAGATCTGGCTGCCCTCAACAGGAGAAGTCATTTGCAAACTTGAACTCGACAGCTACTATTTGTCAAGCACCTATCATTACCTAACAGTAATAATCTGAGGGAGAAAATCTACAAGTTAAGAACTGTAATCTGCACCTTCCAGGTGAAGACAGAGAGGCTTCCAAAAAGTAATTTTGGATGTCCAGCCAAACAGTCGAATCTCAGCTGCAGAACGGTCTTTGCGACATTCCATTTCAATCAGCCATGTTATTGAAAGTCTGTGGCAATCAAAGCTTCTGCCATTGATGCCATGAGAAGCTCCAGCAGGACCAAGCCCACTGCACAGCATTTTGGAGAGAGGGGTGATTTGCCTGGGGGTCTCACAGCTGGTCGGTGGTGTCAGTGAGAATTTCTGCAAGTCCTTTGAGAGGCTGACTCCCACACCTTTGCAAACCATCGATCTTCACCTGTCCCAGGAGTACATTTCCTGACTTCCCTCCTTCATTCTCCTATTCTGAGGACATGGAGGCAGCCAAGAGTCCTTCCCTAGCAGAGTTCATAGTCAGGTGGGGGAAATCGTCCCATCTTGAGAAGGAGCACAGAGGACAGGACATTCCCTATGTGGGGGAGTATGGAGTGCTTTCACAGCAGAGGGGACATGTCTCTGGGTCTTGAAGGATGTATAGAAGCTCACTAGGTAGAGAAAGGAGGAAGGATATTGCTCCACACAAAGCAATAGTGTGAGCAATGGTGGAAAGTGGTGGCTGCACATGAGGCCACGTTATAAAGCTGCAATAACAGATTTGGACTTTTTACATCAAGAGCCACTGTAAGGATTCAGACCAGAGGAGGTTACCAGCAGAGCTGTGTGATGAGCAGGACATATCCTGCAGGAGCAGAGTCTGGATCAGGAAGAATGTCAGAGGCTGTTTCAGGGATCCCCAGAGCAGTAAAGTCTAAGCTGGAGCCATGAGGACAGGGGAGGAGGGTGGACTGGGGGTTTTCAAGCAGGTGGAGCTCACCTGATGAGCAGTGGTCACTATGGGGAGCACAGGAAACCCCACAGGGCACTCCCTACCTTTATGCTGCCTCTCCCCAGGGGCTTCCTTTCCTAATTCTCTGCTCCTGCAACCTGACCTGTGCTCATGCCCCAGCAAAAGAACCCAGTTTGCTCTGAGTAAGTTCTCTTAGTTGGTGTTTGCTCTTCTAGGAAAAAGGGTTCAGAATTATCAGGGAGGCCATCAACCCACTGGCCTAGGATTGAGGTTCTAAGAGAATCTAGTGAAAACCCGGAACCATCATCCCAGAACACGTGCACACAGGTGTTTGCATACACAGCTTTGCAGACAACTTCAGAGGGCTCACGGTCCCCTTGAAGTCCATCCTTGGGTCTCTAGACACCAAATTAAAAGCCCCAGGACTAGGAAGAAATTGGAAAATGAAGAGGAAATAGTTGACTCGCCAAACGCGTGCTATTTATGTCCTCATTTATGCCTCCCCCCACCCCGCCCTCTCCCCTAGCCCCCCACACCCCCGCCACCACCTCTTGGACAACTCCTGAAATAACAAGAAACAGGAGGAAACTTTTACCCAAGGATAGCCCTCGTGGCAGCAGCCTCACTGGGCGGGTTTACTTTCATTATTATAGTAATTTTCGGGCTGCGAGCTACAATTTTCACTTGCAGCGAGGTATTAAATTGAAATTACCCCAGATGTAATTGTCATACAAAATGATCCTGGACACATGGAAATGAATGCACCTACAATGGTGCCACTGTTCCATTTTCTGGGGGTGGGGGTGATGAGAGAGACCTGAGGTGTGAGGTCACTTGCAGGGGTCGCATTTTCTTCAAGATAGGGTTGCATTGCTTACTGTGGGGTTTTAGGGCTCTGCTTCTTTAACCATGCCAGCTTGGGGTGTGTGTGGCAGGGGCGGGTTCTGCAGAGCATGGTGGGTTGGAGCTGCTGGCCGCCTGGGGTGGGCATGGATGGAGACCAGAGTCCAGGACTTGGGGGCCATGTGTGTGGCAGCAGGGAACTGTGTTGCACTAACTCGGGCATGTGAGAAAGCCCACATTATGTTCTGTACATCCTCTTAATTTGGCTTCAAGTTCTCCCTAGGTGGAGGGAGATGCAGCTTGTGATTTTCCTGGGTCTCTCGTCCCCGGAGGACTGGGTGAGGCCCCAGGATCCAACTGAGTGCTAGGCAGCTGGGTGACCCCACCAGACATGGGGCACCTGTCCACCATGCCCTTTCTGTCTGCTTTGCCCCAGAGCTCTCATTTATCCTGCTGCTTTTCCCTCCCCAGATGTGCCCTGCTGATGTACTGCAAGGACCTGCCTTCCACCAGCATCATCATCACCTTCCACAACGAGGCCCGCTCCACTCTGCTCAGAACCATCCGCAGGTAAGACGGTCTTCCCCTCACCTGTCAGTACCCCCATGCCAGCCATGTCTGCTGGCAGGGGAAGGAAAATGGTGCCAGCCCTGGGAGGAGAACATCAACCATTTCTAACCACTTGCCAGACATGGGCCTGCATGCTGCACATGCATCCACTCAGCCTGTGCTCACGCGCCTACGAGAGCGGCCACTGTTCCATTTTCTAGGGGCAACGAGAGAGACCTGAGGTGTGAGGTCACTTGCAGGAGTCGCTGAGAGTCACAGAGAACCTGGTTCCAGAGTCCTTGCCTTTACCCAGTGCTCTAGACTGCCTCTTGGTTTTGTTTTGAATTTCAAAATGTTGTCATTAAGTAAATCACTGTTCAGAAGTCTCTGACTTTTCAGACAAAAATACTGTGTTGTTGATACAGCTGAAAAAGTTCAAATGGCTTCTCCTGCAGGAGAAATTCGCAGCATCTCCAGGAAACTTGAAACCTGGCCCTGTCCCCACGGTCAGTAACTCTCCAAGGACTGTATACCTGGGGACAAGTTTTCTAGGCACTGACACCGCCCTCCCCACCCCCCACACCTGCCTGTGTATCTGGCTCCAACACAAGCCCCTGAATCAACTGGGCTTTCCCTTGCTTCATGTCGGGGCCTGCCTGCCCTGTTCACCCAGGATACCATCCAGGTAGGTTCAGTAATTGGTCAAAGGATGCGCCAACTCCAGAAAGTCACTCATTGGGGCCTGCAAAGGTCCACGGCATGATCTCCATCCTGGGAAGACATTGGCAGGATCCAGGGTGTGCCTTCAGCCACCAGTGCAAAGGGCAAAGACTGAGCTTTCCCAGCCAGCAGGGTGGGAGCACAGCAGTTGCATTAAAGGCTGTGTGACCCTGCTCTGGCGGGCAGCAGCCGTCACAATTAGTGCTGGGAGGTACTTCACCCCATGCAGAGGAGGCAGAAGGACCAGAACAAAGCCCTGGTGGGAGGAGCAGCAGGAAGACATTATCATTCATTTTAAACCAGAGTCAAGATGACTGAACGCTCACCAGGAGATACAGGGTGTGTGGTTTATGCAATAGGTTAACAAAACTCCAAAAGGGATTTTGAAAATCATCCCTGCCTGCACTTTGGGGTAGGAAGTGAGGACAGCATAGATCTAGGGCAGGACAGGGGTACTGATATCCTCTTGAGAAGAACATGAGTTCTAATCCTCACAGGTGACAAGGGAGCTGAGACCCTGAGAGCTGAGTCCACAGCCTCAGCCTGGGATTAGAACTTGGGTCTGCCAAGTAGTCCCCACAGTCGGCCCCCCACCGGGACCCTGGTATAAATGGGAGCAGTTCCACAGTACCCACAGCCTTCTTCCCAGGCTGTCTACCCCATACCTCTCCATCCTCAGCTCCTGGTCTGGGCCCTGCTCTGGCTCTGATAGGTACGTCAGCTCTGTCTGGCCGGGGGCCTACATGGCTTTGTAATAAGTGGACATCCCAGTGCCAGCCCCCATCAGAACTCTCCTCAGAACAGACTGGGGGAAAATTCCTCTCTGACCCTCACTTCTCAGAAGCGCCTGGTGGTTCTGGTCCCTTCCTCAAGCCATGCCTCTCCTCTGGAGCCTCTCCCTGTTGGCCCTCCCCCCAGATCGCCTGCCTGCCCCAGGTGTCCAGCAGCACTGGCATTTTAGGTGGGGGAAACGGCAGCTCCCAGTCGCTAATTCACCTTGGCTCATGCCCTTGGCTGGGGTGGTGGGAGGCCACACTGCAGAGGCCAGCTCTGCGGCCGAGTAGGCTGAGCCTTGGAGATACTAACTGAAGACCCTCTGTCGCCCAGAGAACAATGGTGAAGCAGGCTTCTGACCCTGCACTCTGACCTCTGAGTTCTTGGCAGCCTGACTAGGGCAAGGCTGGAGGTTGGTGTGGAGACATCCTGCATCCCTGGGAGGTGTTGGGGGCGAGAGGCACCAGCCACACCTCCAGCAGGGGGGCCAAGTGCCTGTGGTCCCTCCAGACCCCTGAGATACCTTGTCCATTACGGCCCCTCCCTGTCTGCTAAGAAGCACCCCAGATGGTCCGCTGATCCCCAGAAAAGGAGTTAAAAGTGAGTCAAAGAGAGCCCCAAGCACAGCAAAATCCATGTCATTTCCCTGGAATAAGCCACCCCTTCCCTGTCTCTGCCACATGAGGATGGCTGTGAACCGGAGGACATTCTGGGTGACTGCGAACAGCCCCAAGTGGATGTTTCACCTGTCATTCACGACGAATGTTCACTGTGTGGGGCCAGCATGTCCCTTAGAAACTCAGGGTGGGACGTGCCCACAGAGGCAGTCTTCAGCCTTAGCCACTGACTGGTGGGTTCCTTCCACCAGCACCTGCCCCTCTCTCTCCCGGCTTCTGCATTTGCCCCTCAAGTCACCTAATTGGAATCTGATTTCCAGCAAGGCTTCGGCTCTTGACAAGAAAATGTCGGGAGTCACTGTCAGGTGTCACTGTGACTCTCACGGCAGACTAATAAAGTGCCTTTTCGAGTTTCTGGGCCTTGTAGGCTGAGCAGGCACAAGGGGTGGGGGTGGTGGATTCCCAAGGGTGGATTCCCACAGCCCCTTAGCTGTCCCCATCTGCTGGGGCACCAAGGTGGGGATAGACACGCTCACAAGCCCTTGCCTTGCCTGCCGCCCGTGGTGACTGCACCACATGTCTGGGCATGTCTGCCAGATGTTTCCATCTCCCGCACTGCAGTTTCTCAGAGGCTCTGTGCCTTCCAGGCTGGCCTCTCCTCATCTTTCCAGGGGTCCTCTGATGCCATTCACCTGTACCCTTAGGCACCCCCCACCCCGACACACACGCTTTTCTCTGTGTCTCCAGCACATTTTTCCCAGATATATTCTTCAAAGATTTTCTCTAAGGGCAAGTACTGTATCTTGTTCATCCCTCACAGAACCTCTCTATAGCTCAGTTCCTGGTCAAGGAAACGGGAAGAATAATCTTACCTATTGTATAGGTAACAGGACTATAGCCCATGCTGGGCAGTGAGTGCCTGATTATATTCACCATTCCTGGGTCTGCATAGCTAGCGAGCTCTTGAAGGAAGAGCATTTAAAAGGGCACCACACCTGGAGTCACAACTCTCGGGGCCACGTCCCTGCCTCCCCTTCTCACGTGCCCTTGGGCACATCTGTAAAGATGGCAATAAAAAATTTCTGTATCAAGTTCCATAAATTCCCCACAATAAGACATCACCTTGGGACCTCTGTGGGCGTTTTAACACCATGTGGGGCTTCCCTGCCGCTGCACCCATGTGCTCCAGGGCACTTCAGCTGCTGCCCGCAGACTCATCCCTTCCAGCTCTAACACACATTTCTCCTTCGCTTCCTGCTCTTCCATCTCTGTGAGGTATCTTTCATCTAGTTTTCAATAATTCTGATGCCTTTGCTGTCAGGCCTTTGCAGGAGAAGGGGAGAAGGATGCGGAGGACCTGGGAGCACTGTTGCTCTTCTCCCTCCAGCCAGCACTCAGCCAGGCCTTTGTGCCAAACCCTCTGGCCCCTGATCACCTGAGTTAGCTGGGGACAGGGGCTGAAAAAGCAGCCTGGCTGTTGCAGCAGGTCCCTGTGTACAGGAGACCCAGGACTGTCCCCTTCCTCTTGGAATGGCCTTTGGCTCTTGGCCGCCCATGGGGACTCTGGAACATACACGACTCATCACTTTTTATAGAGTCTCCTATCGTTGCTTTTTTGTAAAATCCTGGCTTCAGAGGAGCAATTTCTCAGGTCCAGATGGTTAGGCAATTAGACTCTGTGGCCAGATTGATAGCCCTTCCTGGTTGTGTGCCCTGGGCAGGCTCTCTGCCTCAGTTTCCTTTTCTGCAAAGTAAGAGTGATGGGGGATAACTACCTTACGTGATTATGGACAAGAGTGAATGAGCTCAGTAGGTAAAGACCTTGAAACAGTGCTCAACAGAGATGAACCTGGAGAGGTGACGTCGCACCTGGTGAACCTCCAGCCAGGTAGCGGCGGTGTTCTGATGCAGTGGCTCTCGAGGCTGAGTGGGTATCAAAGGACCCGGGAGGGCTCATTATAACAGTTTCTTGGGGTCCATCCCCAGATAGTTTTAATTCAGTAGTCCAGAGTGGGCCCCAGAATTTGCTTTTCCTCGGGTAACATTGATGCAGTTGGCTCAGGGACCACATTTTAAGAAGCAGCACCTTGTGATATTATCCGTACCCAGGTGGCAGGAGCAGCTGCTGGGCTTCAGGCACAGTGCTGGGCTCCTTCCCTGTGCTGGGGAGGTTGTGCTGAGGGTCAGCTTTTCCTGGAAGCTAGTGACTGGCGGGCACATTGATAGAGCACTTGAACTCTCTAGTACCACTAACCACAACTGTCAAGCGGCAGCCTTCATTCAACTGGTATTTATGGGGCATGTGATAAACCCAGCCTGCATCTAGCACCATGAAATTCACAGAGCAATTTCAAATACATTTCCTCATTTCATACACACAAAAGCCTGTGAAGTAGGTCAAGTATTAATATCGCCTGCTTTTACAAGGAAAATGTAATTACAGATGGAAATGTAAGTGTGGCGTACACGGGTGTCTGGCTCAGGATTGCATAGCGAGTAGATGGTGGAGGCTGCCTGGCCTCCCCCGCTGCTGGCCTGTGCCTCTCTGGGTGTTCCCTGGGACTCCATGATTAGGGCCCTGCAGGCAGACAGTAGAAGGCATAAGCTCTGCCTGCCCAGATACCCCCAGGCAGAGGTGAACTGCATATAGGAAACTCTGTTCTAGAATAATTCCCAGGCAGACCGGGGCCTGGATATGCCAGTGAGGTGAGCACACATTCCCACGCCTGTTGGTGTAAGAAAGAGGCACCAGACAGCTGGAGTGGGTGAAGCAAGGGAAAAGCATATCCCAGGCTGGGCCCTGGGGGAATGGGCCGATGGGTGTTGTTGGAGAGGGGCTTGCGAGGTGTCTTGGCACAAGAACTGCCAAGACCACAGGCGGGAGCTGGGCAGCCAGGGTTTGGCTGGGGTGGTGGGAGTGAGGATGGCACGTGTAGAAGGGAGGCCCACGGGCCATCTTGGTCAGGGCAGGTCTCCTGGGCTGGACTTGATCTTTCGCTTCCTCTGGCTGCCCTGGAGCCCAAAGCACCTGCCCACCTCAGGGCCCCTGTGCCCAGAGCCACTTTCCAGGAGCCTCTGCCATCTCTCCAATTGCTCTGATTAGAGGAGGAAAAACAAGCCAGGTGTTACCAGGAAATGGTCTAATTAGCACTTACTGCTGACGATTTCTTTTTTTTTTTTTTCCTTTTTTAAACCCTGGACATTTTTTATTCGCTAATCATCTCTCAGTTCAACCAGCTCAGAGCTGCACACGATTTACCTTTTGATGTTCACAGAAGAGAACTCTTGAATTTCAAAGAGCCGGCAGGGATTTGGGGGAATCGCATGCAGAAGCTGGAGCCATAATCAAACCTCATTAGAGGGTATTCTTTACACAGGGTGTTCCCTCTCTCTCTGCATCCCTCTTCCTCTCCCTCTCTGATTGGGGGTTGGGGGGGGCAGCAAGGAGGCTGGTTGTTGGGTTTTGGGTTTGTATGTGTTTTCTTTGGGGCCATCATGTTGAGGGGCTCCTCCTCCCACCTCCTGCCCCTCCCTGCCCCACCTTTCCCGAAGGCTCAGGGCTGGGTGTCAGGTTTCTTTCCCCACCTTACACTAGTTGCCATGGTGAGAAGGAAGGTTTCATAAATAAAGGCAGTTTCAGGCAAAGTTCCCCTCTTAGAGAGTCTGCATCCTGCTTCGAAAGGGCGGCTCTCCAGAAACAAGGTTCAGAATGGTCCTCTCCAAAAACAGGGCTCAGAATGGTCCTCTGAGAGGAGGGACTCGCAGCACCTTGGGCAACCCCCACCTGAATCCCTTCCCACCATGCATGGGACTTTGGGTGTTCGAGGCTGGATGGTGTGGCCTAGGAATGTTTCCAAGGAACTGCATGGTTTGGGGTATTCAGGAGATATAGGGTACAGCCATCGGGGTCAGGCCTTGAGATCCAGTGAACCTGGAAATCCAGCCTTGCCCCCCGGGTGCAGATCCACCGCATAGGAGGGTCAAAGATCACAAACAACACACAAAATAAGAATAATTGATACCATTTTTCATCACTCAGTATCAAGCATGGTGTTAAATGCTTTAAATATATTTTCTCCTTTAATTCTTCCAACAACCCTATGAAATAGATACTACTATTATTATCCCCATTCGACGCATGGGAATATTTACAGCACAGAGAAGTTCAGTAACTTGCCAAAGATTGCACAGCTTGTAGTAAGTAGCTCTGAGACGATAAACTTCTGGAGCACAAAGCTCATATCATACAACCAGTGCCTAGCACACAGTAGGTGTGCATAATCTCTTGAAGGGAAGGTGATAGGCCAAGAGCTGTGCTGGAACGCTACTCCTACAGAGAGTAGCCTCTCAAGGACCCTGTCCCTGGGGAGATGTCCATCCAGAGAGACCAACAAAACCAACCTCCAAGCCCGGCAGTGATGAAAGCCACGGGAAGCTTTAGATGCAAACTGCTGAAGGATCCCAGAGGAGGAAGCAATTAATTGTTACTAAGGAGGTTGGAAAGCTCTTAGAGAGGAAGTGACAGTTGAACTGGTCCTCGTGGCAGAGGAGGACAGAATGGCTCTTGCCAGGAACAAGCAGGATGCCTGCAGACTCTGGTGGGAGGAGGTGGGAAATGGTGGGCAGCCACGGGTGGCTCCAGATTTGAAGGGTCTCAGTGAACATGCTGAGATTTGGGGTGGGTATAGTGGGGGCATTGCAAGGGTTTTGTCAACTTACTGCTTTATGTTTGCTTTGCAAAGTCACATGATCAAGATCAGTCCTGGGCTTCTGAAGTTACCCTGGAGGACACAAAGGGACAGTGTGGGCAGGCAGAGGGTACTGCAAAAGGCAGGGGGAAAGAGGTTCAACCAATATAAGAGATGGAAGTGACTGGAGTGGCATTTCTAGTGCCACACCTCACTGATTTGATGTGATGCTTCAAGAAAAGGCAGAATGGTTGGGGATGAGCCTGGCATCTGGTGCCCTGGTGGGGGAGTGTCAGTGACTAGGTGGTGGCAGAAGTATATGCCTGTGGTCACAGGTGGGCCATGTGATTGGCCCAACCTCATACTTGCTCTGAGTTTTCTCAATTGCAATGGCATCTGTAGAGGCAGGATGGCACAGGGCAGGTTTTCTATGATCTGAGCAGATGGGGTAAAGGAGGAGTCCTGGAGCCCTCAGTGGCTTTTCAGGCTTTTATTGGGATTTTACTGGGTACACAGCAGGTAACGGGCAGCCCTCCAAGCCTCCAGCAAGGCTTTACTCTTTCTGGGCTCTCCCGCCTTCTCTCGTGGCCTCTGCTTCTCTTTTGTTCTTTTTCCTCTATTGTTCCATTCTCCTTCTTCTTCTGGTTCTGCTTCTACTGTTTGCTCTGTTGGCGTCCCCACGACACCACCCTTATAAGCCCTGTATCAGCCCAGGTGAACTCACCTATGCCCACACCCTACTCCAGGTGCCCGGCATCAGGCATGCATTCAGGACCGCAAGGATCCATCATCAATCCTAATGGCGGGAGGGCAGAAAAGCCTGATACTTTACCTTACCCTACAGCATCTATTTAATACAGCTTAATTCATGTATTTTGCCACTAGAAGTCATAACATTCTTTCCTCTTTCCATCTCAGTGTATTAAACCGCACCCCTATGAATCTGATCCAGGAAATCATATTAGTGGATGACTTCAGCAATGACCGTAAGTAACAGCGCTTTCTTGTTTGGTTGGCACACGGCTGCTCCTGGCCCCTTGTACCCTTATAATGTGTGGAAGTGAGTCCACGGTTCTCTGGGGATCAGGTTTCTAATAGATGTGGAAGACTTTAGTGCCCATGCAAGCTGAGTGAGATAAACCTTACACGTAAAAAACAATGTCTTGGGTTCTCTGCTGTAAGTCTTGGAGAACCTAAACAGGTAAATTTAGCAGGTTCTGGATTGTGTGTGTGTGTGTGCATTTGTGAATGTGTATTCTTAGGTAAGGGTAGGAACTCTTAAAGGACAGGAACACACACCCTAGAAGCAATTGACATCACTCACAGCCCTCACTCACATGCTGTGATAATCTGCCAGCCTGAACTGAGGCTAGCACACCCACCCCCCTTCATTCCCTTGAGAGGATCCCCCTGGGACATCCCAGCACCTGGCCTTGACACTGTGAGCAGCTGTCTTCCAACCTTTCAAACATGGATAATCACTGTACCCAAACATCCTATCAGAGACCTGGGTCCCACACAAATCCACACCCCTCATCACTTTTCCCAAGAAAAGCATGAGGTATTTTCCAGCATCTCTGTGACCGGTGTGGCAGATACAACAATGACAGAAGCAGTGCTAAGTTTCAAATACTGGTAGTACCAGTGCCTCCTCTGAGAGCCCTCATCCCAGCAGCCTGGACACTGTTCCCCACAATCAGCCCATCCAGGCAGAGCCAGGGGGAGCAAGGGTGACCCCTAGGAACAGATGCTACCCCAGGAGTGAATCCCTCCACTTCCCAGTGCTGATGCTGGAGGCTGGGTAGTAGAGCCATGGCCACGCTGCTCTGTAGGAAGCCTGGAAACCCTCCCCTGTGACACAGCCTCGGATCCTGGGATGTGACTGATGCTTATGTGGGTTGTTCTCCATGTCTAGAGTGATGAGGTTAGACTATAAGTTCCACAACTTGGTGATTGGGTCTCCCTTCTCTAGTGAGCAAGGAGGGGTTAGCAATGGGGCAATACTCGTCCAGCCCGGCAGTGAGGCTGGCGAAGGGAATGCAGCTGGATTCACTTAAAGCAAAATAGCTCAGTGTTTAGAGCATGGACTCCAGCCAGACTGCCTGGCTTCAAATCCAAGACCTGCTTTTTCCCCAGTAGCCTCAATGGGTCTCAATTTCCTTGACTCAATGGAGAGAGCAGTAGTATATATATAACACAAGGATTTTAATGTGCTAATGCTTTGGAAGTGCTCGAACAGCACGTGGCCCCAAGGCAGCCTCTCTGAGTCTTTGCTGCAACACGGTAGAGTGCTGAGCCCAGCAGAGGGCTGAGGTGGGAAGCAGTGAAGCAACCGGAAGTGGAGTTCAGAACATAGGAATGGCCTGTCATGGAGGTGATGGTGCAGATAGGCAAGGTAGAGGCAGCCCAAGGCGAGGGCTCCGCTCCCTGGCTCATGGGGACTTGAACCAGCTGTGTGTGGTAGAAGACATGCCTCTCAGACCCCCTCAGAAGTAAGTCTCCTCCACAAACAGGCCAACATCGGAAAAGAAGCTCCAAAATGTGTCTCATCCATTCTCCAGTCTCTAATCTCATGTTTTTAGGACTATGAAAAAGGAGGCATGTTCCCAGGAAACATGCTAAGAATCCCCATCCCAAGTGTTTCCCAGCAAGTTCCCACGTGCCACGGGTCCTGCATGCACTGGCCGCGGTCAGTCCTCCCTTCCGAGGCCTACAAGCGTCCTGTGGTCAGGACAGTGCCCCGTGGTCTGGGTGGGGGCAGCAGGTGGGCTGACTTACCTCCTCTTCAGCCTCCCTCCCGGGTGCTCAGGCCATGTAACCTTTTGTCTTCGCAGCTGATGACTGCAAACAGCTCATCAAGTTGCCCAAGGTGATATGCTTACGCAATAACGAGCGGGAAGGTAGGTCTGCGGCTGGGTGCCCTGGGGTGGGAGTATGGGAGTGGGGGTGTGTGTGCACCTTGGGGTGTGTGCTTGGTGTGCATGGGGGGGGAGTGCTTGGTGGCTCCTCCGTGGTCTTGCTGGATGATGGAGTGACTGTGGCGCCCCTGGGCCATTCGTCTCACTGCAGGTCTGGTCCGGTCCCGGATCCGGGGTGCCGATGTGGCCAAGGGCACCACCCTGACTTTCCTGGACAGCCACTGTGAGGTGAACAGGGACTGGCTCCAGCCGCTGCTGCACAGGGTCAAAGAGGTAAGTGAGGCTGATGAAAGGGCAGAGCACACCCCGATACTTCATGTGCTGCAAAGTATGAGGGTGGGCATCTTTAACATGCCCATTTCACAGATGTGAACACCGCCTCAGGGAACTGTCCACTGCCTAGCCGGTGCTGCCAGCCCCAGAGCCTTCCATCCTGCTTCAGCAGCCTGTGCTGGGCTGTGCTTGAGGTTATTTCCTGCTCGCTCTTCTGATAACTTCTGGATTCCTGTGTAAACCACTTAGAAGAGAGATAGAAAATTCCATGAGAGAGCTTTTTGGGGAGGCGCATTCTCGAGCACGGGTGTAGTTGTTAAACCCCACTTCATGATCTTATTTCCTGAGATTAGGAAAGCTCGTACACTTAATGTCATTTAGAAAAATCCCTCTTTCCCTCTTTTTGACATCAGCCAGGAGAAGAGGTCTGGGTTGAGAAGTAGCTATGTGCAGGCCATTCAGTTGAGGGGCTTCGACTGGCTCGCTGCATCTCTCTAAATCCTCCGCTCCTGCTGTGCTCCGTGTGCAGCCCCGCACTGTTCCCCGGCTTCCTATCCCTGGATTCCCTTGTCCTCCCTTGAAGGAGGACAAATCCTCCTTCTCTTCAGGGCCTCGCTCTTGCTCCAAGAAGTCTGCTTGATTGGGATGGCTCTCAGGGAGTTGACATCATAATTTCCTTTCCTGGGCTTAGCGCTCTGTCTCCCCAAGCAGACCACACACCCAGTGGGGGCACCCATCATGGCCTCATGATGCCAATGGTAGAATGGGTGCCTGGTGTTCAGAAATGCTAATTAAAAGAAATCAGATGCAGTGGGGAGGTGATAGGTGAGAACCGAGGGGAGCAGCTGGCTCTCTGCCCTATGTTAACTCACACACATTTACCAAGCACCGATTTGGGCCAGTTTCAAGGGAGGGTTGAAACAGACTGTGTCAAATGCATCCACACCCTGCTTATTATTAGTTCACCAATTTGGAAGCTTTCAGAACCCTATAGGTTGGGGTTTTCATGGAGGCTTCATGACTTAGGCAGATTGATTAAATCATCAGCTATTGGCAATTGAACTCAATTGCTCTTCTGTGTCCCTGGCTTATCCTGTAGGTCAGGGAAACTTTCACCTCCTTCCCACTCCCCTTCTCTGCTGCCTGGTGCCCCTTCCCTGGACTCCAGCGCTGAGCTTGGCCTCCCTGGCTGTGCTCCAGGTCCCCACAGTTGTGTGAGCTGAAGCTTTCCTAGCAGAGCCTTGGCCTGACTCTGCCCCTTGCAGGTGCCAGCAGCCTCGTTGGGCTGCAGAGGTCCCCCAGGCCCTGATTCTTGATGGCAGGGGCCGCTCTGCTGAGCCATCCCCCTGGAGACAGGGAGCGTGGGCACGTCTGAACCCGTGTTTCCACGTGTCCTTGTATGTGTCTTGTCTCAGAGTGAAACGTGATTTGATCTTGTGAGTAGAAGTGGAAATTTTAAGCTGTAATTGGAGTGTAGATTTTCAAAAATAGAAAGAAATAAGAAAAGGGTTGGGCTCGAGCTGTCAGACGCTGTCCACAGCTGGTGTTTTCCACTCGAAAAATCTCCTCGGTTTCCCCTCTTCCCTTTAATTACGTGATGATACTTGAAACGAGCCCCGTGTTGGGTTTTTGGTTTTTTGTTTTTTGTAACATAGGCTTCTTTTCCTGCCTCCTTATTTACATGTTCTTTGGTAGGAAAAAAGATTTTAAGAAATTTCAATCCTGGTAGCGTTTGGTAAATGTCTATAAATATTGGCTTGCACACGCTTATAAGCCCTTTTACGTGCTTTCCTCTCGCTCCTTCCCAAAGCCTTGGGGAGATGGGATAGTTTGGCAAATAATGTGTCTTCATAGATGAAGGGACAGAGTCCCTCAGCATGTACTGATTTACTTGAGGTCCTGCATATTCTAGAAGGCAGGATGGGAACCCACACTGTCACCTCCTTGAGGGCTCCCTCTTTCTCCCCCTTCCCTGCCCAGGCCAGCTTAGAGACCCCACGTGTAATCCTCCACTCACCTGTCCACCCCTAGATTCCCGGGGCGGATTCATCTTTGTGTCTCACGATTCCTAAACCTTAGCAGGTGCTCAGTAATGAGAGTGACAGTGAGACAGGAGTGATCACCTCTAGGAGTTTCCTAATTGCTCATCACAATGTGGTTTTAAGGATACGAATTGGTAAAGAAAGAAGATGTAGGACCACCGTGTAACTGATGGACTTTGGCTCATGCATTCAGCCTGTCATTGCTCCTAGTGGCTGTGCTGGGGTCAGGGAGGAGTGCTCAGCTTTGTATGGGAGAGGAGAGAAAAGAGGGTGTGGTCCTGAATCTGCCAGGGATTCCTCCAACTGCCTGCTTGAGTCTCCCTGTGGGCCTAGCCATTCAAAAACAGATCCTGGAGCATGCAGGTAGTGACCTACGTTGGGCCTGAGTGTCTTTCTGGTGAGCCCCCATTCCGAAGATTGACCCACCAGCTTTGCTGCCAGCTGCTGACACAGTGTCCCCAGAGGAGTTGACAGGAGGCCTGCTTTAGCTAACATTGATGAACACCTGCGGCCCACTGGGTTCTGGCAGGGGCTGAGGGATATGAAGTGGAGCAGATACTGACCCAGCTCCCATCACTCAGAAAGGTTTGTATCTGGTTTTGATGGGCCACTCGTAAAGTCTCCTGCGGTCCCTTTTCAAAACCATGGCCCCATACAGCACTCAGCCCCAAGTATCCCTTGCCACCCTCTGGTCTCCATGACTCTGAGCCAAGCATCACCACAAAGAGATCGTGGCAGGAATAATAGAATGGAAACCCTCAGACCTTACAGGGAGAGCACACCAGAGTCTGCCTTAGCCTTTCAGGCACAGCTCTTGCTAGCTTCTGGAAAAGCCTGTGACCCAGGTGAGCAACCCACATTTTATTTTGCATCTGTTTCCAAATATTAAGGAAAGATTAAAAAACAGTATTGGAGTTTGGTGTTCCCCAAGACCCCCTTAAGTTCAATAAATTACTAGAAGGACTTGGAACTTAGCAAAACTGTTATACTCATGGTTAGTGTTTATTACAGTGAAAGAATATGGATTTAAGATCAGCAACAGGGAAAGGCCAAGGGGTTGCAGCTATAAGCTTCCGGTTGCCTCTTCCATTGGTGTTCAGGGACAGCAGTGACTTCTCCCAGCAAAGATGTTTAGCTTCACACACAGAACATGCAGACAGGAACCCACCCAAGCCTGGTGTCCAGGGTTTAATTGAAGGTCAACCACATGGACGTGGCTAACCAACCCATAGGCTTCACATCCCTCCAGAGGTCAAGTGGAGTTGGAACCACATGGCCCAAGACTGTCCTGCACCGTAAGTTACATTGTTGGTCTAGACCATCTGATGCAGACCAAGGCTTCCAGGCAATCAGAGACACTCAGAGCCAGGGCATTCTGAAGACTTAGAAATAACCTCCCAAGAGCTGGGCAAGGGAGACACGTATCTTTGGGCACAAGGATCTCCACAAAGACTTGATGAGGCTGCAGAGACTCCAGAACTCAATAAGCGAAGGCAAAACAAAGACCCACAGAAGGTTGTTCTTGGAACTTCTAATGACATTGGAGAACTCAGGTCACAAGAATATCTTTGGGGGGGGGGTGTCTGTGTGCGGGTATGGGTGGGTGTGGCTGTGCGTGTGCATACCATGTGCGCAGACACACAGACACACTGTGACAGTGGCCAGCGAGGAGCCCGGAGAACCGTGGCAGCTGGGTAGGTGCCATGGTGACTGTGAGGGAAGCATCTGTGCACGTCCCAGAGGCAGAAGCGATGCATTGAAAATGAGCATTTCTTTCCACGCGGGCCAATTGGCTTCGGAGGCACCTTGTCACTGTCAGGATGAATCACAGGTGGAGGCTGAGAGGGAATTAAGTCTGTGAACATAAGAGCAGGCACTCAGTGGATCTGAGCTTAAAATAAGAAGACAGCCTCATTTGGGGAAGAGACTGAACCAGGAAATTAAATGGCTGCGGGAGAAACAGGTTCCTACCTGTGCCAGCCGTTGGTGCTGGGTACTGGGGAGGTGGGCCTGATCTTTGCCCAGACCCACTACTGTCCCTGCTATTTGATTTGCATTTAGCTGTGAGGCTCTGTGCTCAGCTCCACTACCCATGGGGCCCAGGTTCCTCTCCAGTGTGCCAGGTACAGGGTGTCCCCTCAGAATTAGAAAACATTTTAAAAAATATATGTGATGCCTCCCAGGAGGTGAATTTATATCTTTTTTGTTTTGGAAATGGTCCATGAGTGACTTTGGTGCCTATAAACAGGGTGGCCTAGAGGAGCAGTGAGTGATAAGGCTAGAAAACATGATACAGACCTATTCCTGCCAGTCCTAGAGGTCAGACTGAGGAGTCTGAACCTTGTCCCTGAGCCGGTTTTTACTCATTCAGCTGCAGAGCAAGATTGTGCATCAGAAAGATGACACTGTCAGTCACGTGTAGAATGAGAAGAAAAGGGAGTGGCTGAGGGCTGGGGCCAGGCTTCTGTGCATGACTCCAGGCGTGAAGGGCCAAGCAGGGGCAGGATCCACTCAGAAGAATCCTTCTAGTATCTGCAGGATGGGTCTGGTGATGGGCAGAGGTGACGCTTCTTAATTTAATGCTGGGAAGGAAGGGGGCGTAGGGGTTGGCTCTGTTAACCCCTGGAAGCCAGGGGGAGCCAGGGCTAGAGGAATAGAGTGTCCACAGGTGATAACTCAAGTTAGGAATCTCGCCAATGCTCTTCAACAGCTTGCCTAGGAACCATGGCCTAGAATGAAAGTATTTGGAAATCCCAAGTGGTTTCCGCTGTGGGTGTGTGGCTTTGCTTCTTGGGGCTGCAGGCTTGATTGGGGTCACCTTCCTGGCTGAGTGTATCCTTTGCCTCCTGACGAAGAAGGACATCTCCAGGCCCCTTCTTCCCCATGTCCTCTTCTCGGGGTGCAGCATGGTAGAGAACTGTGGTTGGGGACAGCTAAAGGCTCTGAGGGTTTCAGGCAACTAGAGAGGTTTCAGCCTTCAGAGCCTCATTTTATAGATGGGAACACAGATCTGGGGAGGAAGGTGCTCGGTCAAGGCCCCAAAGCCAGACTCTGGCACTGCCGGGGTGAGCCCCTTCCAGTTCCCTGATTCCCGCCAGTGACCTCTCCTTCCACGCTGAGCTTGGGTTATGTTTTCTAGGACTACACGCGCGTGGTGTGCCCGGTGATCGACATCATCAACCTGGACAGCTTCCACTACATCGAGTCTGCCTCGGAGCTCAGAGGGGGTGAGTGGGGCTCACACCTTTCCCCCATCAGGGCTCTGGTCATTGCTGTCGGGGCACCAAAGTGAGAAAGTCACTGAGGGGTTTGTCTGAGATGCAGTCCATGGCCTGTAGTGTCAGTCACTCGATATGACCATGTCCATTGGGCCAGGGAGTGGAAGGGCCAGGCGAGTGGGCAGGACATTCCCAGCCCCCAGTCCTCTGACTCCAAGACAGGGCTCACTCCGGGGCCTGGGACTGTGGCAGACGCAAGGAGCCCCTGGCTGTGTGCACCTGAGCCATTCTAGCTCCTCAGCATGGGTCACCGTCTTCTCCTTGAGGTCTCACCCCAGGACCCATCTGAGGTGATTCAGCACCTCACAAATCTGCTTACGCCATCAGAGGTTCCTGAGCAAGGGCCACATCCCATAACTGACCATCTTGTCCCCCTCGGCTCTACCCTGGGGCCCCATCCAATCTCTGCCCCTTATTCCCTAACCCCACTGAGCAGAGAAGGCTCAGGGAGGCAGCAGGTAGAGAGAGTGGAGGCCGTGAAAGGGGAAGTTGGCAGTCCTGGAGTAACCAGCTTGGGGGAAGCCTGCTGTCCCTGGGACAGGCTTCCCCTTTCATGAACTTCTAGAAATGGGACAGAATGAGCATGCTCTGCAGGGGCATCTCAGAGACCAAATCAACCCAGTGTGCTGTTTCTAGGGTTTGACTGGAGCCTCCATTTCCAGTGGGAGCACCTCTCCCCACAGGAGAAGGCTCGACGCCTGGACCCCACTGAGCCCATTAGGTAAGTCTGGACAGGCAGGGCAGGCAGAGCCACCACCACGTGGTCCTTCCTGCTGTCACATGGTCTGGGGAGGCATTCTGATCAGATGCTCAAAAGATTGGGTGGAGACCAAGAGACCCCTTCACCATGCCATCGCCACTTGTGTTCCTGGAGATGGCCGTGCAAGGGGCACTGTAGCCTGTGCTGTCCACCGCCCCCACCCCCAACACACACACACATACTATGGGGTACTTATGTTTCCTGCTTAAAGTTGGGTGGGTCCCGAGGATCCCATTTGAGGCTCTGCCAAGGGAATAGATGGTCTCTTAAGGCCAGGCGCAGAGCCCCCAGGTTTCGGATGTCTGGCTGCACCCCCGGAGGCTGAGTCAGCATGGCTATCAGTAGGGGCTGATACTAAGGCCACTGCTACTTACTAACAGCCACATTTGCTCCACTCTGGGAGAACTTGATGGCCTCAGCTCTGGGCTGCTTTTGCAGGGCTGTGCACGGCTCGTGCACTAGCCTGAGCTACCTCCTCCCAGGCCCCCCTGTGACTGACTGCACTTGGTGCCAGCTGGCTGTCTGGGGTTCAGGGCCTATTTTGGGGCCCCCATAGAATAGAGCATAGGAGTTCACCCAGTGGGAGTGCCTGTGTCCTCATTAGCAAGAGTATTTGGCCATGGTGGTCTTACCTAAGACTGGGGTGATAAGCATGTCCCAGACCCGTTGACATCTCCAGGCTATGTCAGTGTGGGGGGTGGTGTGTCAGGAGGATGGGAAGCGGGTGCAGTACACAGAAGGAAACTAGATTTCTCCTGCCAGTGACCTAGGGAAGCCCACATCTTCAAAGTCACATCTGTATCTTGGGGGTCTGCTATTTAGTAAATGTCTGGCCATTTTCCATGGACTAAAGTCAAATTGTGAGCCGAAGGGAATATGAAGAGCTAAAAGCTAGGATGCTCCAACAGGTGGAGGAGTGGAGGACACTCTGTTCAGGGGCCTTGGGCTCCCCTGCCAGCCGTGTACTCCCCCCAGCTTTCATGGCCTGGAGCAATGCCAAGAGAGAGATTGGAGCCAGAGGCCACACCTGACAGTGCCCTTTATTTCTAAAGGAAGAGGAACTTCTGCCCTTCACACACACTCGAGCACTGCTGTGAGTGTGGGCAGAGGAGTCCTGCCTTCCAGACACCTCCAGGGGCAGCCCAGCTATGGCCGGGCACTGCGTGGACAGCGGCCTCTGGGGTTCCCCACTCTCTGCCAGTGGTGGGGTTCTCAGGCAGCATCTCTGCTCAACAAAGAATAAGTGCTTCTTGGAATTAGGTTAGTCCTCAGGGGACAGCAGGGTGTGGTGACACCAGGACACAGGCCGCTCACCAGCTTGACATAGGAGGACATTCCTTTGGCCCTCTGGACCCAATGAATGAGGGACTGGGTCCTCACTCAGGGCCTGTGGGGCCTGCCAGGGTTTGGCCCTCCTACCTCAGCTATTGATTCTCACAGACTTACCCGCTTACCCTCACTGGATTATTTGGTTGGATTCTGTTCCCCAGCTGCCTTTCTTCCTCTGTACCCCTTTCCTTACCAAATGACTTTCTCTGACATCTCTCCTGGCAGTCAAGAGAAGAAGATCTTGGGGTGGGACCCCAAGAAAATAAAATGAGGATGAGGGTGTATTTGTTTGCTTGAGCTGCTATAATGGAGCACCACAGACCCATGGGCTAAACAGAAATGTGTTATCGCACATCCCAGGGGCTGGGAGTCCACAAGCCAGGTGTGGCAGGGTCGTGACTGCGGAGGCTGCATCAGACCTGGCTCCTGGCTGCCAGTGGCTGCCTTTGCCTCTCTCTGCACATGGTCTCTCCATGCTTGTCTGTGACAAGGTCTGCCCTTTTTCTAAGGATGCAGTCATATCGGATTAGGGTCTGCCCCAAAGACCTCATTTTAATTTGACTGCCTCTGTAAAGACTCTCTTTCCAAGTGATGCACATCCTAAGGTGTTGGGGTTGGGACCCCATCGTATTTTAAGGGGCTGTAACTTAATCCATAACAGAGGGATAAAGAGGGAACAGGGCGAGAGCTCCATCTTAAGAAATTGATGCGCTGTTAATCGATGCTGTCCTGACCCTTCTTCTCAGCCCTGGTTTGTGGCCCACTACTCCTGCCCCAACTTGGGGGGGCCACACTGCATATGGACTGGGTAAGAGGCCAGTGGAGGCCCCCGGGCTCACAGACAGCTGGAGTTCTGATGAGCCCATCCCTTACCGAGCACGTGCACTAGCCTGTCAGCAGGTCGAGAGATTTACAATAAGTGGTAAACCCTGGAGCATGGTCTGGTTTTCAGTGCATGGACTATTTATTAGCCCTCCTGAGCAGAAACTAAAGTGGGAAGAAAATGCCCTGGCCTCTGGACTGCCAGGGAGGAAGACACAGACTTGCCCGCTTATACTCACTGGATTATCTGGTTGGATTTGACAGTGGTCCCCTCTCATAACCGATCCTCCTTCTTCTCCTTCCCCATGCGCAGGACTCCCATCATAGCTGGAGGGCTCTTTGTGATGGACAGATCCTGGTTCCAGAAACTGGGGAAATACGACATGGCCATGGACATCTGGGGTGGGGAGAACTTTGGTGAGTTGCTCTCTCTCCATCCTGGGGCGGAGCTGGGGAATCCTGTGCCCTGGGGACAGGTCCCTGGGAGGAGGGCCAGCGAGATGGGGAGCGAGTCACTCATGTGGGGGAAAACTTGGTGGACACCAGACGAGTGGTTACTGGGAGGGCAGAGGAACAAGAGTTTCTCCCTGACATCACGTGGGGCCTGGGAAGCACACCCAGACAGTGTTAGGGGAAACTAGAGATGCACAAGCAAGGAGACCCAAGGCAAAGACCAAGTCCCAAGGGCCAGAGGCAGGCTTGAGCTGGGAGCTCTGAACTTGGGAATTTGGAGGTGGCAGGACACTGGGGGTAACAAGAATGAGGAGCAGGATTGACAGTGGCATGTTACCATCTGGAGAACATCTGTTGGCTGCTGTATGTGTGTAGCACTAGCACCGGGTTAATGAGAAGAGTCTGGGGTACCTGCTATGGAAACTTGGGGCCTCTGCTCTCATGCCCTAGTGCAGACAGAGGGGGTGTAGGAGCTGTATCATAGATTCCCAAGCTGTGAAACAGATGGCCAGGGTGGACAAACTGGGGTGGTGCTGAATATGCAGCTACAGGCAAAAGAAAAGTCAGAGAGACCTACTACATCTAGCTGATGACAGAGTGACCCTCCAGTTTCCTCCGTATTAACTCTGCCACCTGAGGGTGCTCCTGGTGGTTATTGCAAAAGTCCATTGAGGTAAGGCTACAAAAGTTGTGGTACTGTACGGCAGAGTAAGCCTCGGTTCTTCCCTTCCTTCCAGCAGGTGAGTGGAGTAGAATGTAAGCTGCAGAAGGGCAGGGGTCTGGTCTTTTCATTGCTGGCTATTTCTGCTGCTTAGTGTGGTGCCAGCCACAGGGAAGCATCAGTAGCTATTTGTTGAATAGATCACAGTGGAGGACAAGGAAGCCGCATCCAGGTGCTGGGACCCAGCCCACTCTGGGCAGCGGGGAGTGGGTCTGGCCCGGGGTCTCCGAACATTGTGCCAAGTGAATGATCCATGGGCTCATCCTGGCATCTAGCAGTAATCCTGTGCATTGTCCTCCGCCATTGTTTTCTCCCATCCCTGCCTTCCGAGTGTTTTATGGCTTTCTTCCTCAGTCACTAAGAGTTATTTCTTGGAAATTTATGGCTGCTGGCCTGACCCACAGCATCTGTTCTCCCAAACTGGGCAGTGTAGAGAAATCCATCAGAAAAGTCTGACTCCTGCCAATACAGGGTTGGATTGGAACCGAGGGGTTGACAAAGCAGAAGACTCCAACCCCCTTCCTGGGACAGAATGGGCATCTTTGGTGTGGGGTTTGAGGTCAGGTCTGCCTGCCCCAGCCCTGTAGGGCTTAGAACCAGGTAGGCCCTTGGTGTTCCCAATGGGGCAGAGATTCCTGTCTTCCTGGGCAGAGTGATCAGATGTGCTGATGGTCAAGTACCACTTACCCTCCCTCCTGGAGGCTGGGCCTCCACTGCCTCATATGTTCTGTTGTTGAGAATTCTTTGTTGAATTGTTAGAAAATTCTAAGTTGAAACCCACCTCCTTCCTGGGTCATCTGTGGGGGCTTGTTTCACACTCCTGAGTCACCCACCCTGAGCCTGAGCCTTTGGCCTTCACTTTCAGGCCTCACCTTATTTTTAATGATGCACATTCTGGTCCAGTCTACCAGCACCTTCTCTGGACACATGTGCTCAGATGAAGCATCAGTGTCATCTAGTATGCTTCCTAGTGGGCTGGAGTCCTTGGCCTTGACAAGTGCTGACTCAGATAGGGAAGTGGGGAGGGAGGGGCTGCTGGCAAGGTGTGGGAGAGACAATTTGCAATACTCCCCCAAAAGTTTTTAAACCACCAAGAAAGCCCCGGTGGGTTGGTGTCACTGGAAACTTGTCCATCCCAATAGTCCATGTTCCAGCCTGCTCCCAGCACTTTCAAAACTGTTTCTGGACTTTTTTTTTTTTTTAAGCATTTTTATATGCCAGAAATATAGTGCTTTTCCAGGGGTGGCTGCAGCAGAGGACAGTCAGCTGTGCAGGTGGGGAGAGCTCAGCACCTGTGTCCATGAGGGTGGGAATGCGATGATGACCAGGGTTCAATGGGGCTGGACAGTGATGTTTTGGAGCAGCAAAGATGTGCTGCTGCCTGAGAGTAAAAGAATCCCTGCTCTAGGAGATGACAGTGGGTACCCTACCCCCCAAATCACCAGTTCCCAAAGATGTGCTCCCCTCCATGTGGCTCATATCCACCTCTCCTTCATCCCCAGCACTGTCCTGAGTGTCCCCACCTCTGTTCTACTCCCTCCAAGCCATCCCCCCACATTCCTGCCCAAGTGTTCTCCCTCCCACTCTCCCTGGCCTGGCACCCCCAGGAGTTCCTTCCTATTCTTCATACCCAGGCCCACATGCTTCAGCTGTGTTCCTCCTTGGCCTCGCCCACCCCTCCTGCCTTCAGTTTGGAGGCTCTGACAGAACTTGCCCCCTGCCCAGACATACTTGATGCTCCACAGTGACCTGAGACTGTCTCGAAGCCTGGCCTTCCTTCTCCATCCAGAGCACAGCTCTGCGCTGCCTTCTCTGCCTGCCCTCCACCCCCTCCTTCTGCACCCTGCTCTCTTCTGCATCCTGGCTCTGAGTCCTCTTACATACTTGTGTGTTTATTCATTTGTGCCTGCTGCCTTCTTCCCCAGAAACCCAGAGCAAGAGAGAACATACAGGCAAACTTCTTGTTCTTAAGGCTAGAACAGTGGAAGCCACTCAGAAAACCTGTGTTCTGAAGGAGAAAAGAGAAAGAGTGTGTGTGTGTGTATGTGTGTGTATGGGGTAGGGGGTGGTGGCAAAACAGATCCCATCAGTGAAGCTGCTTCAAAATAGGTCAGCTTGCATTAAGTGGAGCCCGTGATAATAGTAACAGTGGGTAGAGGTGTTTTTCCAAAGATTGGGGCTTCTATGTCTATGTTATGTTGACTTTATTTCATAGCACCAGAGTCCATGGGACAACTGGAAAGGGCCCTGGGCAGGAAGACCAGAAGCAGGCTCTGTGACACATGGCACATACCCTGCCAGCCCCACAGCTGACTGCCAGCTGACCCCCACTGTGTGCTCCAACCCCTGACCTCAGGCCATCCTTCTGCACAACACAGCTAAGGGGAAGTGAATAGTTTTGATAATTATATCTGCAGTTCAGCAATAAGAGCAGGCTTCAGGGAATTGTGGCTTTTAGTTGGTTTTTTAGAAGTTGTTTAGCATTAAAATCAGATGCTTAAACTCCAATTTGCATAACACAAAATACTTGTAATATAGCTACTGCATCTATCTACTCACATCTAGCAGCATCTTAAAGCTTTTCATCTTTAAAAAGCTTTAAAAAGCTGTTGCCCAGTGAGGTGTCAGTGTGGTGTGTGTGTGTGTGTGTGTGTGTGCGCACTGTGCTTGTGAGCTCAGCTGCTGCATTAGACAGCCTGACTTTGAATCCTGTAGACCAATCATTACTGGTTGTGTGTCTTTGGGAAAGTTACTTCAACTCTTTGAGTCTATTTCCAAGTCTTTATAGTGGAGAGTGTGATCCTGTGATAAGGAAAATAGCTTCCCCAAAAGGTAATCACCCCCTAATCATTATGTTCAAGAAAAAATTATTGTGACCTATGTTAAGTGGTAAGGAAGACTTTATTCAGAGCTGGCATGCTAGACCTCATGACTCCTACAACATGGGAGATGAGGCTCCAGTAACTCGAAAAGGGGGGGGGGGACTTTGAACCAAGTAGGGAGGTGGGGGTGGGAAGTCAGCTTGTGGAAAATTACTGAGGGGAGATCAAGGGGTGGGCGATACTTAATAAACTGGTGTAAGGATTCTTACCAGGGTAGTCAGATCTCCAGCCTGGGAGACTTGCTGAATTGACTTAGAATTCTTGATTAAACTGGCTCTGTATGCCCAGGAGGACTGGGGGTAGGGTCAAGGCTGCGTTAAGGGCTTAGAGGAGCCTGACTGAAGTTTGGTCAAAGGGAATGTCTTGTCTGCCTTGATATGTTAACTTAGCTGCCATAGAGACTCTATAGATGTGATTTGGGCTACTATGAGTGGTCTGAAGTTGGGAGATTACTTTGGATTATCCATGTGGGCCCAGTATGAAAGCAGAGAACTTTCTCCAGCTGGAAGCAGAGAACTGGACAAAATAGAGAGATTTGCAGCATGAGGGGCACTGGGCAGGCTATTGCTCAGTTGAAGATGGAGGGTCAGATGGAAACAGCTGGGAGATGCTCCTGGGCTACAGCCAGCTCAGAGAAGGAAACCACAGTCCTACAACCACAAGGAACTGAGTTGGGCATAAACCCTGATGAGCTTGAAGGTGGATTCTTCTTGAGAGCCCTCAATAAGGAACACAAACCTGCTGACACCTTGCTGGTGGCCGAAGACTCTCATCAAAGGGCCCGACCAAACCTACACATGAGGGGTGTGTGTGATAGTTTGTGTCGGTGGCAATAGAAATGCTGGAATCCCACATCACAGGACCTTGTGATGATGGATTGGAGCTGAGCTTCCCCACCAGGCTTGGAGCTGTCCACATTGCTAAGAGAGCATTCCTCAAACCCGCTGGGTGGTTTGCCCCTGCAGCTTTCTCTTCTGACCTCACCCTTCCTGTGTTCACTGGCTCAAGGTTAGGAATATGACATCATCTGAGAAGAATGGACCCTGGATGTAGCCAGGTTGTCCCAGGTATGTGTGAAGTGCAGTTTTAGCTCACAGATTCAAGGCTCTTTTATGGGCCAACAAGATTATTGCACTCAAGTCCATGTATACATTACAAAATAAGATCAGAGCTGCCTGGCCCATGTGGCCCTGGGAACATAAAGATCATTGAAAGAAAAGGTCCCTGTCATCACATACTTATGTGTGTGGACTTATGAACAATATCCAGAGGAGTGTGTGCTACTGACACCTTGCTGGTGGCCCGAGACCCTCATCAAAGGGCCCAACCAAACCCACACATGAGGTGTTCACCCACCGCCGTCTGCTCGACTTCCCTGGTAGCTCTTAGCTCGGCCACAGGCAGAGTGGAGAATGAGCTGTGGATACAACCTATGTCTGTGTACAGTATTTGAGGCTCCATTTAAAATGCCCCATTGCATTCAGTGGAGCCCTGTTCTAATGCTCCCTTGGCTTCTGTTTAGAAAACAGGCTATAAAGGAAATCTAAACTAGTATGGCTGAGCCATGGCCTGTGAATAGCTGTGGTTTCTTTCTTGGGGAGAAAGCTGTCCTCTTTTCCCTGAGTTGCTGTCCGCCATCATGGGATGGTGGATGGGTGTTAGTTCTGGCGAAGGTGGGGGCTTTTGAAGCTACTACTGGGTTGATGAGATAAAAGAAAAAGAGGTGACAATAGGGTAGGGAGGAGGGCAATTTGCTCTCAAATATTAATCTGAAGTTTAATGAAAATAAGAAGTTAACAGTGCCCCCAATGAGGATGGAGTAAATTTATACCTCTCCCTGCCTAGAATTCGAAGTGGATTCGGGTCTGCATGACATTCATCACCAGGGAGATTATGCGGGTGCTGACTCAGCGAGAACACCCTACTAACTCTCTAAGTCGTTTTTTTTTTTTTGCTCCCCCCTCCTTTGCTTAAGAAAGTGATGACTTTGCAGGAGCTGCAGACCTGGGTCTAGACTGTGCCTGGAAGGCCCGCCGCCTCATACCTGGGCAGTTCTGATCTGGGAGCCCCCACTGCAAGGACATCGAGATTAAAAGCCTTCCTCAAAGCAGCCACTGGACCCAGCTTGCCTCCTGGAGGGAGGCTTGTCACTCCCCTGAAGTCAGTGGTGCAGGTAAAGCTAGGGCAGCAATAGACTTTAAACATTCCAAACTGCAGTACCTGCGAATCATAGCACCAACCTGAAATCTCCAAGCTGCCTCACTGGAAGATTCCACCCCAGGGCGGGGCGCATGGTGCAGGTCAGCTTGCCTGTCTCAGCTTGCCCAAGCTGATGTCAGACAGAGAAGCCCTTACCCATCTCCTGCTGCAGGTTCCCAAGGGCGGCATCTCTGGCCTTAAGATGAACAAAGTCAGGTCTGTCAGGATTGGATGAATGAGTCGCGGGGTAGAGATGTGGAGCTATGAGGGATTTCTCTCTCCTCCTGCTCCTTAGTGAGTGCTGTGAAGTCACTCTTTGTATCCTTAGCTGTGCTGATGGGTGGTGCTCAAGTGGAGGGAGGTGTCAGGGCAAGAGCTTAGGCTTAGGAGTTGGGGGACGGGCTTCCATTCCCAGCTGCCTGCTGTCGCTTGTTCTTTCAGAACTGCTTCTACATAGTAAATTAAGAGTATCCCCAACTGCGAGCAGGCTTCAGGGAAGTAGAGTGATTGTAACAACCTGAAGGAGGACTGAGCAGAGCCTTCCTAGGAGGCAATGAAGGGGGCATTTCCCTCTCTTGGCTTATGTTTGCAGGATCGAGATATTCTGAAGTGTTAGGCTAAAATGCCAGACACAGGAAGATGAGGAGGAGGAATGGTTTCTAGAGGTGGAGGCGAGGAGGCAGGCTGCATCCGATCGGAGGATGCTGATAGGAGACCTACTGCATCTGAGGTGGCCAGTGCACCCTGATAGTATCTGGCAGCTACAGCATGCTGGTGCTGGAACTAGAACTGGAGTCACGGCTGGTAGAGAGGAGGTGAGGCCTTGGGCAGATGAGGAAACAGCATCAGAAGACATCCAGGGGCAGCCTTGGGGTGAAACAAGAGAAGAACAGCCAGAAGAAGGTCATGGGCCACAGTCAGGGGACTCCAGGCAAGTTCCAGGGCCACTGTGAGTTCGTTTCCAGACTCCTGCAATCAAGCATGTCACACAAATTTTTGGTTTTCCAGTGCATATAAAATTACATTGACACTATACTCTAGATATAATGTAATCAATTAGAAGTGTTTTATTGCTAATGAACGCTAGCCATCACCAGAGACTTCAGCAAGGAATTGTAATCGTTTTCCTGGTAGATGGTTGTGTATAAAACACCATCATTTGAGATGCGCGTACACTTGTGCACAAGATGTACACTTGTGCTTTTCAAGGGTGGGGATTTCTGCATGACTGTGGCAGAAGGGAGAGGTTCGATCAATTCAGGGAGAAGTAGAATGCTGGGCAAAGGAACACAGGGAAAGAGACAGGTTGTGGGGCATGGGTGGGAGGGATTGAGGCACAGGTTGAGGGATTTGCCTTGCAAATGAGGAGGGACATATGTCTCATTTGAATACGTGGACAGGAAGAGACCATAAACGAAACGTAGGCATATTTTTGGAAGAAAGCTGGCGCGAAATTTGTAAGTTATATCTAGTAGCGGGGCCTGCATCTCCAGTTTTGAGGGGTGAGAGGATTTCCTTTTTGGGAACTGGAGCAGATCGTGTTTTGAGATGCCAGAGAGGAGTCGAATGGAGCATTAGACCTGTTAAGGAAGACATCTTGAGACTAAATTTGCACATGTGCTAACACAGTGGCACGCACCAGCCTCTTCGGCCTCTGGAGCTCTCTCTGCAAGGTGGGGATGTAGATGTGGGCAGTGGTGCTGTGGCTCCGTGGCTCCTGCAAACACCAGGCTGGGATCCACAATCCTAGTTGTGCCCCAACCGAAGGCTGGATCACCGCGGATCCTAGATCTTTATGGAGAGTCTCAATATCAGATGTTAAGTCCATGAATTGTGTGCGGGGAGAAGGAGGCTGTAAGTCATCTAGGAAGTTGCAGGGGGGCATGGTGGGCGATGCTATCCTGCCCTCATTTTGAAGAGGTTAGCTGCAGGGGAACATTGCTTTATAACTCACTTCTCTTTTGATTGTAATTTGAATTTTCACATTTATTCTCAAAATTTCATTTCATTTGATGTGGACAGTTTCCTGTGGAGTGTCTTTATAATCTTCATTTTAAGGAACACAGCCTCTGTGAGGTCAAACAGGTCTCCCCATTAATGTGGCCAGCAGGTCACTGCACCCCAAGCTGCCCCAAGCTGCTGACCCCAAAGCCAGACTCTTCCTGTTTCTTCCCCCAACCCCATTTTCTTGCCATCATTCAGTACAGTCTTGAGAAGCTCCCTCTTCACCTGGCATCTGTGTTGTCCACTGTGAGGGAAACCTGAGCCTCTAGGTAATTAGCTGTGGCTTGTTCAGGACAGCACCTGGGCAGGTAGAGGGATAGGTGGGAGAAGGCAACAGTGGTGATGTTGGTGTTAAGGAAACCTTGCCTGCAACTCAGTGGACTTTCCGAGGACACATGGCAGGAGGCACATGGGGGTACAGGGTGGCTGAGGACAGGTGATTGAGAGGACAGGCGAGGATTGCATTAGGAATCATTGCCCATGCCCCTGCTCGGAGAGTTGGAGTGAAGAGGACAGAGAGCAGGAAGTGGAGGGACTGCCAAGGTGAAGAAACCCAGGAGGTGGGACTCAGGTGCTGGATCGGGTATGGGGCATGTTTGTAGTGGGCAGGCACCAGAGTACTCACATCTGGGTTCCCTGCTCTGGACACTGCCCCACCAGGGGCAGACAACCACGGGCATGGATTTTTCCTGAGCAACCCTCCTTGAGCTTGCCTGGGAGCATGGACCAGGCAGGAACTTCCAGAGGTACAAGGGCTTTCCAGCGGCGAAGTGGTCTGTGGAGTCGCCTCTGAGCCTGCAAGCCCTGAGCTGGGTGCAGTGAGTCCTCACCCTTTCCTTGGACCTCCATCCTGTGTCCCTTCTCCTAGGAGGGGTGCAGAGCGGTGATGGGGGGATATGGCTGTCTTGCAGAAATCTCCTTCAGAGTGTGGATGTGCGGGGGCAGCCTAGAGATCATCCCCTGCAGCCGAGTGGGCCATGTCTTTCGGAAGAAGCACCCGTATGACTTCCCGGATGGAGACGCCAACACGTACATAAAGTGAGTGCTTGTCCCAGGGCTCGTGGGGGCTGCCGAAAGCTGAGGGCGTCCCAGGTTCTTGGGTAGTTTGCCTGAATGTTCTGGAGGAATAGGAAGTGCGTGTCCATCCCTCCCACCTTTGCCTAAGCAGGGGGGTCAGGCCTACCCATCAAGCTTCAGACCCTCGGCCCAGGCTGTCCTTCATCGACTTCCCCAAGTCATGGTCAGGCCCCACAGTGGCCTTGGGGTCTTCAGGTCTCTGGGAAGCTGTTCCAGGGATCAGGCTCTGGGTATTGTTTGAAGTGGGGGGCAGGGGAGATGTTTTTGCCCAAGTTCTAGAAGACCCACCCTCCTACCCCTAGGCTGGGTCACCAGTGAGGGTTTTAGGAAGATTCGGGAACAAGAGGCACAGTGGATGCAGCTCACACGCCTGCTACGGCACCTCTCCTGGCAGACCCTGAGCCACTGGCTCCTTACCTGGGGTGTTCTCATGTGCTGCAGGGGTGGGGTGGGCTGGGGTACAGGATGCAGAGGCCGGACCCCGTGACCCAGTGGGGCTGCTCGCCTCTTCCCTGCTCGCTCCTTCATACACCCTTGGCCTTTGGTTGCTTCCTTCTCTATTAACCTTCCTCTTCTCCCTCCCTACCTCATCTTTTTCACCAGATTCTGTCCTTTTCCCTAATCCTCTTGTTAGTTGTCATCTGACAATGTCACTTGCCACTTAATCCCCTTTGCCTTTTTGTCTGTCACTTGGTCCATTTGAGGACGGGAGGGGCTAAGCACATTTTTTTTATTTTGGTGTCTTTTTCTTCCCTGATCGTGTAGCTTTCCTCTTCTACGTCTCTCGTCCTCGGTTTTTCACACGCAGGAACTGATCTGGTCACTCGCTGACTCAGCCATCTCAGAGGATCAGGATGTGAATGGTGGGGGAGTTAGACACCTTTCCAGAAATCCAGTGGGTGGGGGTGGAGCCAGGAGAAACCCAGCCAGCCCAGTAGCCAGGTGGGAAACAAAGGCAGGGCTGGGGCTTTAAAAGGGAAAGTGAGCTGGGGACATCTGGAGTGGGAAAGTGATGAGTGTGGCTGTGATGTGGAAGCGGCTGGCCTGGGACCGAGGGGCAGAACCTTGGACTCAGAACATGCCTTGTCTTTGAGACGGGCCCCGGCCGTGGGCCTCCTGCCCACCACTGGTGGGCCATCCAGTGATTGAAGAAACCTGGCAACTGTCTGCTGAGCAGCTTCTGCTTGCTGATGGCAAGGCCAGTGGACAGGGCGGCAAGGCCAAACTGCCTTCAGGGCAGCAAGAACTGGGCTGTGTGTAGCCTAGGCAGTTTCCGGTCAAGGGTCTCAGCTCCAAACAACCAGCAATCTGGAGGAGTAGGCCGTTTCCAGGGAGCCCCCAGTCCTCTTACTCAGGCCTCAACAGATGCTGCCCCCACCTGCCCCTGGCCTCGGATTGTCTTCCAATAGATTTTCTGTCTGCTCCAGGACTCTCCCAGGTATCCAGCCTCCCTGCTGCTGAGTGATGACATTGTCCCTGTCAGCCTCCCTCTCTATTTTCTGTGACTTTTGGGGCCAGACGCAGAGCAAATACCTGATTAACAAAACCAAAGGGTGCTGGCAAAATGTCTAACAGAGACAGCTTGATTACTTAATTCTTTACACCTGCACCAAGCTGATCACATGGCTCACGGGAGGCCCATTGGGGTTGGCTTTCCCTTTGGAGACGGGCCCTCAGCACATGCCCTGTGTAAACGGGGTGGGGGGGGGTTACCTGGAGAAGGAGCAGGGGTGGGGGTGGGGAGGAGGTGGGGTGAGACTTTCACACAGGCCCTACCTGTCCTTCTGGGTTCCTGGTACCGCAGGGACATGCAGGTTTTGCTGGCTCTTCCCCCTATTTTTATTTTTCTTGAGAGCCACAGAAATTCTGTTTCTGGCATTTTTTTTTTTTCTGCTAAAATCCCATGTCTTGGATAAGCGCCCCTGAGGAGATTGGGTGGAATGTGAAGGACATAGCTCTGCAGGAAGAATAGTGAGGTCCCCCACTGTGCAGTGCAGCCCACTCAGCCATGTGCATGTATTCTAACTGGACACTCCCATCTCAGAGCACCTCTTCTGACCCCCTGCCTCCCCAGGAACACCAAACGGACAGCTGAAGTGTGGATGGATGAATACAAACAGTACTACTACGCTGCCCGGCCCTTTGCCCTGGAGCGGCCCTTTGGAAAGTAAGTCACCCGTGTAGAGTGAGAGGGGCCCAGCTCCCAGGCCTGAGGCAAGTGGGCCCTGGCAGGCGTGTCTGCTCCATCAGTGTCCTGAGCCCCTGAGCCCCTCCAGGCCTAGCTGTGGCTGTCCTTTCCCGTCTCTTCTTGCTCCTGCCCCTGCTGGTTGGCAGGGCTTTCGGCAGCTCCAACAAATGACTGTCCAGCAGCCTGGACCACCTACTCATCACGGGGCTGTTTGTACCATGGGCGGATAGTTCTGGCATTTTGCAGGAAGAAAGCTCAGTCCCTCTGGCCTCAGTTCTTCCATTTCATCCTCAGTCACCCCAGTTTAAATTCTTCTCTTTCCCAGGAGGGCCTTGTGCACATAAATATCGCCTCTAGCAATGCTCTAGCTTCCTGAGCAAAGAACACTGGGAAAGGGACTGAGTGCCGAGGTAGCATCACTTCAGACGTCTTATTAGTTCTCCCAAACTCTGAGATGTGGGTGTAATTATCCCTGCTTTACAGAGGAGGAGACGGAGGCTTATAGGGGTTCAGGGACTTGCCCTGGATCACTCCATTTTAAGAGGGGCTTGGAGGCTCAACCATACCTGCCTGATTGCAGCTCTATGTGATGTTATATCCCTCAACTGGATCTGATTCGAGGAGAGAATAACAGTTTCATTTATGTTATTTGTCTTTTGGGGCGGGTAGGAGCAGAGCAACCAATGACTTTCTGTTGCACTAATGTCCCCCATTCGTCAGATGAGGCTGTTGAGCAGATGGGGTTTGCAGCCTACACTTCATAGGCCGTGCCTCGTGCTGCGCAGGAGGATTAAATCAGGAAGCGCCAAAGTGATTTGTATCCGAAGTCTACAACCCGCGCTACCCCCCCATCCCCCGCCGCCCCAGCTCTCACTCAGAGCCTCCCAGGGCATTTCTTCTTAGTCCTCCACCAAATTCTGGTCCACTGGCCACGTCCACCCACCCTCTTTACTTTATTTCCTCTCCAGCATGGAGTCCACTCTCTAAAGGACAGAAGATCTCTTCCTCAGATCTTTGTCCTGATGTGCACCTGTCAACACTCCGAGCAGTTTTTTCAAACCTGGATGCACCCAACTTTGGCCTCTTCCTCTCCTGGCCTACAGGCGGCTGAACTGCCCCCAGAAGTACCCATGCTGCCGCCTGCTCGCTGTGGCCTCTGTACCCTGCACATGCCCAATGGTCCTGCTACCTTTCCCGACCAGCGCGGCTCCCAATCCCATTCAAACACTCGCTGCACCCCGAGTCCATCCCTCTCCCTCACTCCCAGCAGATGACACCTTCTATGTTATTCGCAGAAACAGACACGTCACCTTTCCAAGACAGGCCAACATGCAAACTTCACTGTATCTGGCCCATTCTTCTCTGTCTCCATCTTGAGGGACCACGTGCCTCCTGCTGCGACAGGCCAGCCCTCCCCCTGAACTCCTCGCACCTTTCAGTCTTGCATTCATTCATAAACTAGCATTTATCGAGTTCCTGATTCATCTCCTGCCTTCTAGCTCAGGGCTCCTCCAACTTTAATGTGTACACAGATCCCCTGGGACTCCTGTTGAATGTGGATGCTGCCCCGCTGGCCTGGTACGTACTAGTCTCCCAGGGGCTCCTGCTGCTGTCCTGAGCACCTCCATTCCAGGAGAAAGGGCTTCCCCAAAACCACGTGGCTCTCACTTGGGAAGCTTAAAAATGGCTGCTGCCTCTTCTCCACCCCCACATAATTGATTTAGTCTGGGGCCTGGCCTGAGATTTTTAAGCGGCCGCCCCTGGTGATTCTAGTGTGCAGACAGCGTGGGAACCACTGTCCCAGGGGCCTTTGCCCTCCCTTGGTGTCTCCACTCTCCACCTGGTCTTCCCTGAGGCGCTGTCACATGTGCTCTTCACTGCCCATTCCCCAGCATCACTGATTTCTTCCCTACCACCTGGTTCCCATCAGCATTTAGATGAATTCAGTGTTCTACATCCTACAAAATGAAAAAAAGAGGGAAAGAGGGAACAGCCTACCCAGACTCTCCTGCAGTTCATTGTCTGCCCGGCTGCTCCTTATTCTGCTTCACGAAACAGAGGCCTGCATGTGCTGTCGGACTCCCGTCCCCTGCGGATGCCCCCACCTGGCTCACACATGACACCCTTACCATCCTCTTCGTCACCCCATCAGGATGAGGCTTCGTCTCCGCAGCCCCCTCCTGTGAGCCTGTGTTTTCAGAGCTGTAGTCCAGGCTTTTGTTGCTGCTCAGCTTCTACCTTCACCTTATGTGGCCTCAGCTTCCCCTTCTTGGCCTCTGTCTGGTGCCGCTTTTCACGGCCCATTCTTGTGGCATCAGGCACCATGCTATGGACCCCCACATCTCCGTCTCCAACTTGGACTGAGCCCCAATCCCCAGTGTCCAGGCAGGCACCGGGCATCTCTACCTGCTTGGTTCCTGGCTCCTCCAACTCAAGTCTAAACTGAACTTAAACACTTAACTCCTGAATTTGCCCCTCGTCCCCTATCCCCATATCAGTGAATGCGCTTCCTTGCATCCTGTTGCCCACGTCAGGAATCTCGGTGTCCACCCTGACTCCTCCCTTCCCCTTCTTCCAAGTCTGAACAACCATAGTGCTAGAACGCAGTCCACACTGAGCCCCCAGGTCCTTGCTAATCACTGAACATTCCACATTCAAGATTGGACAGCATTCCTGTCCCCTTGGAGCCTCTAGCCTGGCGAGGGAATGTGATGAGTGCCAAGAAGTCCTGGTGCTGTGAGGGCACCTGGTCCAGTTGGGAGTGGAAGGAAGTGAGGCTGGACCAAAGTAGCTCCAGTTCTGTGTGGTGGCACAGGAAGGACAGGTGTAAATGGATCCCAGCAGGTGCTGGTGCTGCAGTTGGACAGGGAAGGACTTGAACCTGTCACTTCTCTCCATTCCCTTCCCCGCTCCCCTTCCTAGAAGTGTGATCAGATCTGGGTTTCTACACCCCCTTCCAGCAGTGCTCCTGGCTCCAGCTTTGCCCCATCAGACCCCTCGGCCATCCCTAAGATGCCCTCAAAGCACAAACATCAACACACTGCACTCGGCATCCCCCTGCCCTTCAAGTTCAACCTCACCCCCACCAGTGCCTCGCCAGACCCTTTAAGTTCTGTGTCTTTATCTCTCATACATTTCTCTTCCTCCATTTCTCCCACACATACATTTACCCCCACATTTTACCCGCCTGCCAACAGAACTCCTCTCTTCATACATGCTAGTCTCTGCTTTCCCCCTGCTTCAGCCAGAGCCCCCAGCTCACCTGCTTTCTGGTCTGTCTAGATAATATCCACTGTGCTTCTGGGTACCAGAAGCATCATCACCACCTTGACCACTGCTGATCCAACAAGCAGGGCCTCTGGGTGCTCCCACAGCCCACATGTTCCGCATCTGCACAAGACAGCAATTGCTTCCTCCACTACCTTTCTCTCTTCTTGAAAGCTCACCATCCTATCCCACATGGGGCACATAGTAGGTGCTCGATCATATGTGATGAACAAATATATGACCAGGCTCAGATCCAGCCAAACAAGAATGTTCTTTGAGGCTGGGTGGTCAGGGGTAGCATGTCGACTGCAGAATCCAAAGAGATTTGTAAGTAGACCCAGCGCCCCAGCAGTGAATTATGAACAACACACAGAATGTTCCTGTAGCCTTGTTTTTAATGAAAAATAAAAACACACCTAAATTCCATTTTCAAGTAAAGCATAAGTGTCATTACAGCATCCTTGTGAGGTGTTTCTAAGTGCCTCTGCAGCTCTGTCTGGAGCTCTAGAGATCTCTGGCTTATTTCTCCAGCCCCCTCCTGAGAGCTGTGGGCATGTTGTGCCTTGTGCTTCCCAGCCCGGGCAGGCTGCAGCTACCAGCTGGGACACAGCTGTATTTTGTCTTTGTGTCTTCCCTCCCCACCCCCAGCATTGAGAGCAGACTGGAGCTGAGGAGGACTCTGCAGTGCCAGAGCTTCAAGTGGTACCTGGAGAACGTCTATCCGGAACTCAGGTATCTGCCCTTCCTGCTGGCTGCCCCGAGGCCCTCAGCTTACTGGATCTGGAGAAGGGACAGCCTCTGGCCAACTGGAGGAGGCTCTTGAAGTATACAGAGTGGACCAGTTGGCTCCCCTTATCTCCAAAACCAGAAGAGGAGTTAGATGAACCTGTAGCACAAGGTGGAGGCTAGCTAGCAGCAGTGCTGAGTCTCAGCCCTGGCTCTAAGCCCCACAGTAGGACCTGAGCACAGACTTGCTGGTCTGGCTCCTCTCAGGCTCCATCTACCTGTGGCTCCTAGGTCTTTCCTAGTGCTAACCTCCGCCCCCTGCCCCCAGCAGCAGTGCAAATCTTTGTGACATAACCCAGGGTAAAATAATCCTCGCCACTCCTGATCCCTCAGCTGTCAGTGTTGCTAATCCAAAGAGCTGCAGTTTCATCTCCTGTGGCTTTCCTCCAGCATCCCCCCAGACTCCTCCATCCAGAAGGGCAATATCCGACAGAGGCAGAAATGCCTGGAGTCTTCCCAAAAAGAGAAAAACCAAGAACCCGCCAACGTCAAGTTAAGGCCCTGTGTCAAGATCAAAGGCGAAGATCTGAAGTCCCAGGTATGGTCACTATCAGGGGACACACAAGCACGTGGTGGACTCAGCCTCTGTCACCTGTTTACAGTGACCTTGAGTGCCCAGCTACACCCAGAGCTCAGCAGCAGAGCAGAAGCATGATTGACCCGCTCTGGGACTGGATACATGCCACCAAGCATAGAATTTCCCAATGCATAGAATATTTCTCTGAAAGAGACCTTGCCAGGCAACATATAGGAAATCACTATTTAATTCACAGAAGTTTAATGAGTATCTGTTGGGGCCAACCTGCTGGCAGTAAGTGTGGGCTGGGTCAGCAATGGTGGGTGCCCACCTACCTCAAAAATATGAAATACAGAGGAAGACGAGCCTGCCACTGGGTGGCGCTGCCTGCTGGGTACTCCCCCCATTCTGATTTTTAACCACCTTTGCTCTAGCGGGACACTGGAGGGGCTGCCTGAGTCAGACGGGAAAAGGGAAGGAAGCAGAGGTGTTGGTTTTGCTATAGGTGCGGCCCCCCATCTAGGAATGACAGGATGTGTTCAAGTGGCTTTTGTAGAGTGTTGAGAGTAGGTGACAGACATCCCTCTCTTTGCAACTGGCGTGTGGGTGCTGTGTGTTGTCCCCTTTTCCTGGAACAGGAGTTTGCTTGGTGTCTCCACAGCACAGCCGGGTGCTGATGTCTTTGACTGCATGAGGAAGGAGGCCTTGGGAATGCTGGATCCCAGGGAGCAGCCCCCAATACCCTGGCCCTGGGAGAGATTGCCAGGTCTTTGTTTGACCAGAGGGTAATAGTACCTGTGCCGCTGACTTTTCTGTGGTGCAAGCAAGGGGAGGAAATAGCCGCCATCGGTGGGAAACTAGAGTTATCACAGTAACAGCCTTCAAGTGAACAAAGAGTTCTTTTCTAGAAGAGCATGCAAAGCTGTCGCTCCTCTGCTTTGGAGAACAATCGTGTTTGTGTAGCAGCAGTGAATTTAGGATAATAGGGGAGCACCTTGGGATAGAAAGATGTTCAGTAGGATCCCACAGAGCACTGAGTGCCCGAAAGCCCCGGCCACATGTGTGGCTGTGAGGCCGGCTCGGACACCCCCTGCTAGCAGGGCCCGTGCCCCACAGCCAGGACTAGGTGCGTTTCCAAGTGTTCCGAAGGTGTTAAACTCCCTTTAGTCTGATAGCAATCCACATACATGGATCCCCTGCTTTTCAAGAGTGTGCGTCACGCTACTTAACTTTACACAAGACCTGTGTTAATTAATATCCGCTTTGCTCACCAAATAGGAGCTCAGGAGGATTTTGCTTTCACAGCAGAGAGCAAGTGTCGCACACGGCATTTGTTTTGTAGCAGCCCCAGAGGCGGTTGCTTCCATGCAGAGAGCGAGGCACCAAGTCCTGCCCTGGCTGTGCCCGGCTGTGTCTGCGTCACAGCTTTCCTGCTTTGAATGTTAGTGAGATTTTAGGGTTTATGTGTTATTGGAATGATTTCTTAAGTTAGTTTTTGGGTCTGTGAACACACAAAATGTTTTCTATATAAATTAATGGTAATTGCCTCTTCATTTTACACTCTTTTGGTTTAGGAAGGGTTTCATAAGGATGCTGTACTGTGGCTAGTACAGGACACCAGTAACTCTTTCAGCTAAAATAATCCCCCAAGAGTGTGCACTCATGTGTGGGTGTAGAGGACATGCCCTGTAATACTGAATGACATCACCTTCCGGTGCCTGCACCTTCTCCCCACATCAAGTCTTGTCCTAGCTTCATGCTGCCCCACCACCCCTGCTTTACTGCAGCCATGGCTTCTCTCCTAACCCTGCTCTGCCTCTTCGCCCATCTGTGTTCTCCTTTTCCTGCCTCTTGACCTGTCCAGGGGAGTCACCTCTGCCCTCAAACCCCTTCACATGACCCCTTCAGCTTCCCTCCTGCCCCCACCTCTTCTGTCTCTGAGAGACAGATCAAGGAACTGACATGAGAACTCCAGTAAGCAGGTGCTCACGCTATGCTGGTTTTACAGATGATAAAGCTGACCCAGAGAGATGATCCAAGGCCATGTGCTAGAAAGTGGTGAAGGCAGGACTTGACAATCTGGTGGCCACACGTATCTCTGCCATCGCTGCTGCTGCCAGAGCCGTGGCTGGTGCCAGACCCTAATTCAAGATCCATCACAGAAGAACATGCCTGTCCCTGAATCCTTCTTCCAGGCTATAGATATTAAAACCATCCATCAGGTATAGGAGGTAGTTGGCAAGAATCTTCATGGCCAGTGTCCAGTGGCCACAGGAAACAGAGGTCCCACACCCCATGCTGGGGTCTGGGGAGCAGACCAGAATGTAGGCCTCTCCCCCACCTTGATGGGAAGTGGGGCAAGAGTACGAATGGGGGCCACACTCCCGGACCCCACACCTGAGTGTGGGGATACCAGCAGTGCTGGCCGGCACCCCTACTACCCCGGGATTTGCCCTCTACAGCCTGGCTCTGTTCCCCACCATGAACTCCCCAGCCTGCACATTCACACTCCCTTCCTTCCAGGTGGGCCCTGTGGGCCTAGGTATGTGTGCTGGGGAGAGAGTCCATATTTGGGAGGACAGGCAGGAGGTGAGATCCAGGTAGGCCCTGAAATCAGGAATCAGTTTGGGGCCACTGGGGTGGAATTCCAGGGTCCCAGATGTCTGGAGCGAAAGTGTACCAGAGGGTGGGATCCTGCTGGCAGCTCACTCCCCAGGGTGTTTGAGCCCAGGCACAGGGGTTCGTCCTCATTGTTGTAAAGAGCCTCCAGATGTGGCTGTCCTCTGGCTCACAGCCCTGCCCCCAGGCCCATCCATCCCTCACACTGCTTTACCTCTCTCTTCACTGGGGTGTCAGCCTTGGGAACAGAGTGTCTCATCTGAGTGTGCTGAAGATGTCAGCAAAGTGATGCCTTGGATGGAATGTGAGAGAAACACATCATCTATTTGTAAACATGTGAAGCTCCCGAAGTCGCCAGGCTAACAAATTTCCTCTTGACGCTCTTGGATCCCCTAGGAGAATATTTGTGAAAGATAGCAGGAAGACAGGCCACCAATCTAGTTGCTATCCCAAGGTGGAGAAAGGGAAAAGAAAATTTAAAAAATTCTTGAGTGTGCTTTTCCAGCTGTCTCCCCGACACTTTAGGTTACTGGCTTAGGGAGGTAAAAGCTCTTCTCCCAAACCTGGACTCACATTGCGCCTCTAGGTGTGTGAAGCCCGAGTCTGTCAGTGGGACACGTGGCCAGCTTGTGACCTTCCCTGCTGATGCCAAATCTCCTCCCTGAGATGTCTCAGTAGAACTTTGGGGAAGGCCCTGTCTACCTTGCCACCAGAGCATGGCTCCTGGGGGACCAAGCAGAGGCAGTTTTCTGCAGCTAGAGCTCCAGGGCTGCCTCTTCCTATTGGCTTCCTCCGTCATAAGCATCTACACGGCAGGCAGTAATCGGGTGCTTGCTGTGTGCCCTGGACATCCACACGTACTCAGCCATGCATTCCTTAGTCCCCCTGATAGTACTTTGATTTAGCATATGAGGTAACTGAGGTGTTGAAAGTTAAGTAACTTACCCGGTGAATAGTAACTCACAGGGTGAATAGTAGGTAGCCCCGGCTGTCACTCTGGAGTCCAACAATAGGACCCCCCCAAAAAATATAGCATGGTGGGTATTGAACTGCATGGTATTTAGCCACTTCTTTACTCTAAGTACAGTGAGTCCGCAACACAGACAGCAGGCTCTCCAAAATTGCTACTTAAGTGCAATGGTGTATAATGAAAGCAGGTCTTGAACCTACCGTTGTTGGCCAGGATGGTCCTTTTCTAATCAATTTTATAAAAGCACGTGGACTCAGTGTTATTGGAGACCTGAGGTGTGTTCTTACAACTTGGGCAGGAAGGACAGGTGGGCTGGAAATAAAGACCCTGGGAGGGAGTCTAGCGAAGGTCCCGTGGCAGGAGGGGAGTGTGTCTTGGAGCTTCCCCCACCCCTGGCTGCTGCCTCAGGGTGCTGCTGAGACTGTGTGGGTGCAGCTGGTGAAGGCGACCGTGGCACGGCCGGCCAGTGTGTTGGGTCCTCCTTCAGGGATATAGGGGGTCAGCTGAACTCAAGGTTCGCTTGCCCCCAGACTCCCACCACCTGTCCGAGACCCTTGAAGGGCACGTCTGGTGCGCTAGTGCTTTGCCTGGTGTGACCTTAGAGGCTGGGGCCCAGCCGTTGTGCCTGCGTCTGTCAACCCGAGTCTGCTTCTGGCATGCCCAGATTAACCACTGATCTCTTCATCTTCAGTTCCCCCTTCATAAAATTGTGCCTGCCCCCAGGGGCTATGATGCCTTTAAATCGAAACAAACGAGACACCCTAGAACCAGAGTCCCTTCTAGGAGCCTGGGTCACCCGAGCCCAGCAAAGCCAGCAGTGCCACCTTGCACTCACACCCGCTTCTCAGTTCTGTGCCGTCCACCACTCAGAAAAAGGTGTGAGGGGAAGTGCCGTCTGCAGAAGGTGTGGGCTGTGCATTTGCAAGGACAGGCCTTAGCCTGTCTTCTCACTACATGTCTCCGTGCTCACCTAGCCACTTCTCCCGTGAGCCCTGCCAATACCGTTGATGAGGCCCTGCTCGGGGGGCCTGGCCTTGTGCTAGTGCTTGTGCATCATCTCATTTAACCTTTACAGAAACCCCACAAACCAAGGGCTGTTATCACCCCCCCTTCGCAGATGGACTGAGCAAGGCTGAGAGAAGTCAGGAGTGAGGCTAGAGTAACTGCATTCAGACCTAGGCTGCTGCCTCCAGAGACCACGTGCTTCAGCTCAGCTGGGCTTTCTCAAACTCAGCGCTGTTGGCATGAGGGCTGGGTCACTCTTTGTCATGGAAACAGCCCTGTGCATCGTAGGCTGCATAGCAGCATCCCAGCCCTTACCCACTAGAGGTCAATAACACTCCCCAACCTGATAATAATGATAATAAATGCCTCCCCGTGCTGCCAGCTGTCCCTTGGGTGGGTGAATGGGGCCGAGTCACCATGGCTGAGAACTGCTGCTGTAGGCTTGTGGCTTTTGGCTTTTAGAAGATGATCCTTGGACCATCTAAGAGCAGCCCCCTGCTTGGGCCCCCAACACTCCCTCATGCTGCCTCTTTCAGAACTTTGCTCCTTCAGTTGTCTCCTCTTAGAAAATCTTTCTTCTGCTTCTCCATCCAGTGCAAATCAATGAGCCCCAGGCTGGGTGACGGCCCCTGTTCAGCTCAGCATTCACGGCTGCTGCCAGATGGGCACTTACTAGAGAGAAGTCGGCTACCCCTCTGCATTCCCAGGCCACTCCCTTCTGCCCATAGTGGCTCTCTCCAGATGGCCTTGAACCTGTACTAGCTCCATCATCTGCTCCCCACTTCCAAGGCAGGAGCAAAGGAGCTGGAGGGCTGGGAGTGGGCCCCCTCCTCTTCTTCCTCAGGCCTTTGCTGGCCAGCCTCAGAGAGGGTGAGGCTGTCCACACACCACCTCCAGGGAGACCTCTGGATAACCTCCCTCTGGTGGCTGTGTCTGTACACCTCAGGGTGTGGGCAGATTTTCCCGTCCCCCAAATGTTCTGTGTGTGGCCCAGTACTCACGGATCTAGATCGAGCTTGCTGAGCAACTGCCTCTGCCTCCTGAATCCGTTTCTGACTCTGGGATTCATTTAATAAACCCATTCATCACCAGCCATCCTAGAAAGTCTGACAGGCTGCAGAGGGGGGATCAGAAAACCTCTTGCTCTGTGTTCTGCTTCCCTCCTTTCTTCTCCTGCAGATGTGTCCAGAAAGCAGAGTTCCTCTGGGAATTGTGAGGCTGAAGTGTTTCAATGCCAGTAAAGCATCAGCTAATGGAAAGTCCACTTAGTGTAAGGCCTTCGATCTCTGTCTCATAGTTTACCCTTGGGGGTCTCGGAGGTGGTTACCTCAGCCCTCACCCCTGGGGGTGTACCATGCACTTTCCTTCCCGAAATGCACTGGCGACAAGGTGTTGGAGATGGAGTGTCTCTGTTGTCAAAAGAACCCCAAACACACGCACACCATCCCCAGAACACTGATTTTTTGAAGACCCCAGGATATTTTGAAAAGAAATGCCAAAACAGGCTTTCAGAAATCATGGTATACATTAAGGTTTTCTTTGTTAGTGCTTTTAGCATAAAAGAAAATGCAATGCCTGTGCTGGTCATAACATAATTACAGGATTTATTTTTAAAACACAAATTCATGGTTCACTGCTGGCTGGGTGAATGATGAAACAGAGGAATGAACCCCATCTTCTTTCCACATGGGGGTGGTAGGTTTAGGCTCCAGATAATGGCAGAAGTCTAAAGGTGAGGCCAGTTGTACAGTGGATCTAGGCAGTTAGCTGCTGGCAGCCCTACCCTTGAGCCTGAGCCCCAGGCCCTTCACTCCTCGCAGAGCAAGAAATTCTGGAGACCCTCACCCAGGGCCTTTTCCCACTTCTAGATCACACTGCAGTATCTGGAATCCCATCCAGTGGGATGGGATTGGCTCACCTGAGTGGCCCTCACCCCTGGTCTGTCCTCCTGAGAGTTGACTTTATTCCCAACACACACAACTAGACCCAAGGGGGGCTGTTTAGAGGGGAGTGACCAGGTGTGGATAGGCAGACCGGGAGGCTTGTGGGGGAGCAGCCAGTGCTGCCTGTATCCCCATGTTCGGATGTGGAGTGTGGCCTCCTTCATACTCTGGCCTCACCTGCCATCAATGTGGGGGAAGGGCCTACTCTCTGGTCTACACCTCCCCACCCCCCTGTTTCCTGTGGCCACAGGACATTGGCCAAGAAGAAGCCTGTCTCGCTCACTCCCTCCTGTCAAGGTGGAGTTGATGTACAGATTTAGTGTGACCTCAGGGACAGGCGTGTGCTCCTGCGATTCCCTTTGAATAAAGAGCTGTTGGGAAGCGAGGACTTGGCCACAACTATTGCCTTTGGATAACCTCACTGAGCCTTTTCTTCCTTTATCAAATGGGGATAATAATAATGTCTACCAAGAGGGATTCATAGTTAATGAGTGGCCTGGTCCAGAGGCAGAGGGTCAGCTGGTGGGCAGGGGGCAGTAGAGGAAGCAGCCCTCCATGGGGTCCTCTCTGCGGCTCCCTCAGCCCCCAATTCATGAAGCATCTTCTTTGCCCCATGATGAAGGCAAAGAGCAGATGTTACCCCCACTTCATGCCAAGGAGGGTCACGTTTTGACAATGTACTGGCACTTGCACCCTCAACTGAAGCCGCAGTCAGTTGCTCTCTGATCTCTGGCACATTGGAGGAATTCTGTGAAGAACGTCATGTGAGGGGCCTCATAGAATTCCCCTTCCCCTTTAAGGGCCCTGCTTGGCCACCCAGTGGCTCAGCTTTTCCTGCCCCTGAGCGGCTCAGGGGGGAAGTGAGTGCACCTGTTCTCCCAGGCGCACATGTGCTCCCGGACTCTCTCTTTCTCACGACTTCCTTTCCTGCTCCCCCGGAACACGCGTCCGCGTCCTCTTTGTCCCTCCATCTGCCTCTCGTCCAGCCTCTCATGTTCTCTGCACACTGAATTGGAGTGCTTTTTTTTAAAGGGGGCACTCTGGAGACCGCTAGGAGTGATTTACCAGGTGGCTATTTGAAATGTCAAGTGTGGGGCGCAGACAATGATCTAAATAGACTAGAGGGCACACAGCCCAGCTGGGGCGTTGTCCAAGCCATGCCCAGAGTCCGGAGCTGCTCAGCACCCGCTGAAGGCAGCCTGCATCCCGGCCACCCCCTCACTGGGATACGGGGTCAGAGACCCCCCCCGGAGGTACGACCTCCAGGTCTCTGGTTCTGGAGCAGAATATTCCATGGTCACCTGTTCACTGTTGATTCCTGCCAGGACCTCCCCTCCCCACAAGGCTTTGCTCAGCCCTGCTAATCATCACACGTATGAACAGCTGCTCCTCCCCAGTGGCTGCTTCCGAAGATCCTCACGTGCGCCTTCCTGCTCTCTTCCCCCAGATCTGGGCCTTCACATACACCCAGCAGATCATCCAGGAGGAGCTGTGCCTGTCAGTCATCACCTTTTTCCCTGGCGCCCCCGTGGTTCTCGAGTTTTGCAAGAACGGAGATGACAAGCAGGTAGGTGCCTAACGTGTGGCTGCCTGTGTGTGTCTGTCTCCTCTGCAGGCAGAGAACGACCATAGGAGAGGAAGGGTGAGAAGTAAGGCTTATGGGTAGGCGAGGGAGGAAGGTGCTGCCTCTCCTAGCACCCAGGCACCCGCAGAGGGGTCAGCTTGTCACAGAAAGCCTGTGAACTTCATGGGACCTCAGCGTGCAGTTGCCTCTTGTCCTGCCCTGCCTGGCCCCAATGCCAGCCTGCGTCCTAGGGCAGGACGGCACTGCCTCCGAGCCTCAGGGCCTAGGGTGAGCGAGATTTACACCTTGAGGACCTGGGCCTGGCAGTGGCCCAAAGCCACCCCGGATGCACCATGTGTACAGCTCCTCCAGCAGCCGGGCGCCGGCTTCACTCTGCTTCCTCCGCCTGGGCCGTGGCGGAGGCCCTGTGTCAGATGTCTGTGTTGGCTTCAAGGCCCTCTGTGAGCTTGTTTCCTCCTTGTGGAATGGCGTTGATGATGCTCCTCATGGGGCAGCTGCTTAGAACAATTAACCGCCATGGTCCAGGCACTGGATCGGGGTGGTTCCCAGGAGGCACCCAGTCTCCTTGCAATGCGTGGTGAGGTCTGGGGAGCAGCAGCCAGAGAGCCAACATCCTGCTCAGGGGCCTGGTGAGCATATGTGAGAGGTGTGGGGTGTGACCCGGAACCCCTCCTGCGTGGTCAGCCCCCAGCTCTTCCTGCTGCTTTGTGGTGGTGCAGACGCCAAGCACAGATCGTTTCGCTGTTGTTCCCGTGACAGACTCCCGTGCCACATGTTCTGGCCTAATGCTTGGAAAGTTATTGCCTTCTAATGAGTTTTCCTAGCAAACATATTGATTTTGCTTTTTTTTTTTTTAAATCTGATTAAAACAGAACAACAACAATACCTGGCAGAGCAATTAGTTGCAGTTTTATTCCTCCATGAGACCATGAAGTCAAGTCTCCGGGTGACCCTAAATACGTGGCATAAATGTTTCTGATTACACTGGAAGGCCCGATATTAGTGATGGGACCTGGGGCCTTAGCCAGAGAGCCCAGGCTCACCCTGTTTCCTCTCCATCTCCCCAGCAATGGAGCAGGACGGGCTCCCGCATCGAGCACATGGCTTCCCACCTCTGCCTGGACACGGACTTGTTTGGTGATGGCTCTGAGAATAGCAGGGAAGTCGTTGTCAACCCGTGTGAGTCCTCACTCATGAGCCAGCACTGGGACATGGTGAGCTCTTGAATGTCCGGGGGCCGTGGGCTGGCGCTCTCCGTGAGAGCCGCAGACTGGAACGCAGGCCGCCAGCAGCCCACACCCACTGCAGATGTCCTGCACTGGAAGCTGGAGCCAGAGCCCCCAGGACAGGAGCAGCTGTCTCAGGGAGGATGGAGGCAAAGATGGCAAGCCACATGGGGCTCAGCGTTAAAGCCCATGGGTTCTCGATACCGTTCCGGTCCTGTCCTGGCCCCATCTGCCCCGGCTGGTATCTGGAGACAGATCCACCGGGAAGTGTTTACATTGTTCCCTTTCTTACAAAAGAGACCAGAGAGATTAGCTTTCCTTGTCCCTAGACCAGGATTGAGTTGAGAGATGAAGAATAGAGGCAGTTTTCGAACAAATAAAAGTAACCTTGCAAGTTTTCTCTGCGTACCTCTCACTTTGTCTCTCCTTGCGATAGCGCAGGGCTAGAAGAAGCTCTCCGCTGAGCAGGGCATGGGGGCAGCAGGGTCTCGTGGTCAGGTGGACAGAGGGCAGGGAGCTGGGACGCCTGCATTCTTATCCCACCAGGCTCTGTGACCTCGACAGACACACAACTTCTCTGGCTCTTCATTCTCTGTTATATCAGGTGAGAGGTAGGAGCAGCCCAGGGTGGTTACCCAGGGATGCACGAGCTCTCTCTGAGGAAGCCCCATCTCTTCAGGAGCTCTTGCTTCCACCCTGGTGATCCTGCTGTGGGGGCCCGGGGCAGGGTCCAGACTGCAACTGATCCTCATGCCCTCTGCCTGGTCAGAACCCCTGTCCTGGACACCTCTGTGGGCTCTGGTGTGGCCGCTAGCACAGGAGTTCCTGCCTCTGACGCGTCTTCAGGTGCTCCCAGGCTGTGGTGGTTGTCCCTTCTTTTTAACTGGGGTTGAGAAGATCTGTCCATATTGCTTAGAAAGTTGCCAAACTATGCTTGCACATTCTATGACAGTAAGTTCACCACCCACCTTTAGTAATGATCTTAATTCTCTTTTGCTTATAACAAATTAACCCAAAACTTAGCAGTTTAAAGCAATGTGTGTTTATGACCGATGGTTTGTGGGAGCCAAGAATCGCAGGCTCCCCTCTTACCAGGGGCTGAAAAGGCCACATTCAGGGCATTGCTGGGGCTATAGTCGGCTCAAGGTTCAGCCAGGGCAGCATGTGTTCCCAGCTGGCTCTATGGTTGTTGGCAGATTGGATTCATCTCGGGTTGTTGGCGCGAGGCTGTCCTTGGTTCTTGGCCCCATCAATTTCTCCATCCCAGCTGCATGCTTCACCACAGCGAGCAACCCAAGAAGATCGGGCCAGCCAGCCAGGGGTCACAGGCGTTCATAACCAGTCGCACCAGCTGCCTCCCATCTCTTTAGGGTAAACACTCATTGCAGTCCACACTCCCAGGTCATGGATTACATGGGCCCGTGGGAGTCATTTTAGAATTCTGAGCTCGGGACCTTTTACACGTGAGCCAGAAGTCTCGCCATCACTTGTAGAGCCAGCAGTGATGGGCCATCGTTCTGGCGCTTCTCATCAGGCCTACAGCAGCGGGCAACTGCAGATGGTGAGGGGTGAGTGTGCAGCCCCAGAATTTCTGCCAGGGTTTGGATCAGCTTCCCAACTCTCTTGTTGCCTCTTTGCTGTGATTTGGCTCTTTTTGGTGGGGTTATTTCACTCCCCACTGGGAAAAAGAGAGGAGGTTGTGCAGTGGAGAATGACATCTAGAGCAAAAGACGTCCTGATGGCCCCTCAACTACATGTCCAAAGCGTTCAGACCAGCCTGTCTGAAAGAAAGGAAAGACAGGTTCCCTAGGGACATTTCCCCATGTAGGTGAAGTAGGAATGGTGCTAAAAAAAACAAAAAGCCGAGCTGGGATGTCTTCATGTGTATCTTGTCCCCTCTGTGTATGCGCCTGTCCTGGAGACCCTCACCAGGAAATCAAGCTCTCGGGTAATATTCTCTTAAATAGATGATTGGAGAAACCATTCCTTGACCAAGGTGAAGTGACCTTACTTATATTTACCACCCCTAGAGTCACGGGGTGTAGGTGGCCCTAGGTCCCTCCTCAACATCCAAAGAAATGGGGAAGCAGGAATGCAGACCCTGCTGTAAGCAGCAGACATTTACTACCTCCAGAGCTTTTGATGTGGCAGAAGAGCCAATGCTCAGCATGCATTTGGACCTCCCTCCCTTACACATGAGAGTCACTGTGAAGGATGTGGCTGTCACCTGCTAATGGTTCATGTGTGAGGGGCATGCATCTGGAAGCCTCCTTGGTGGAAAATCAAGTTGAAAATTCTGTTGATGTGGATTGAATCACTGTGTGTAGAGATCCAGATGCCCTCTACCCACCAAGCTGATTATAATGAAGCCAAAGCGAGTGTAAGACACAGTTTAAAAGCAAGAATAGCAGCACTTCCAAGCCTCCACCAATTCAGGACAAACTGACCGTATTCTGACAGCACAGCCACCTGTCCATCCCGGGATGCCCACGGCCACCATTGTCTAACACAGCAAATGTGCCTGAGCTGCACCTGCAGTCTGATCTTTTGGTGGTTGCTGAGTGGGAGTCCTTGGTCAACGCTGATCATGTCAGTACCCTGGAGAGCTCACTTGGTAGGCCCCCAATTGTTGAGGATGAAAAAAAAAAAATTATTAAAGGACATCAACATATGAAAGCAAAAAGGATTTTCGTTCTTCTTCTTTTAAGCACTCACAGGGCTTAGCCCCCAAAACAAGCTTGGATATTCACCCCCTTGGAATAGTGTCACCACACTGCCAGATAAGGGGTTGCCAGTTGTGGCAGAAACCCCCCTCACCAGGATTATCTGGCCAGTAGGGACAAATAATAGTATGGGCTTTTAAGTATTGTAATGGTGTCAGTGGTGTGCCAATTAAATGGAAGAATTTATACATACATCACATGTATACATGTGACTTGGAAAGAAGAGGGGCAGTGTTTTCAGGCTTGCCCCCGTGGCTGGATTAGAGTTGGAGGAATGACAGTGTTTAGTGGAGGGGCCGAAATCGGAGACAGTTCTGGAGTCAGCCTCGGTGGCCGTGCTGGTGCCATATTGAATCTGACACTTGCTGTCTTGGTAGTCTGTTCCTCTGTGTGCTCTGTAATTCTCTGCGTGAGCTCATCTTCGGCAGGAAATATTTCCTCTGGGCATCTCTTGTGCCCTGGTTGTGGAGATGTGCCTCAGCCAGGGCTTAAGTTTGTTTTTGTTGCGTTCCATTGATTTCAAACCTGTTTGTACATTGGTTTCTCCAGTTGTAGTTTCCATGCTGTGAGGGTGATGTGAATTTGGATTCCGCATCTATGCTTGGCACAAAAGTCAATTATCTTCCCTTTGTCCAAGTTGTCTCTTTGCTCCCATGCCATCAGCACTCCCCAGCTGGTGGGTGGGTTTATCTAGCCCTTCTAAGCACCCAACTATATGTAGGGTCTCATTTCTGATCCCAGCCACCATGAGGCTGGGGTCCTCATATCTGCCTCTGCTTGGGTGTTGAAACCCCATCCCTGATTATATATACCTGGTTTTGATTTCCCTTCAGTTCCCATTACTTCTCTGGCTTCAATCCTCACTTGTTTTTGAGAGCTGGAACTTACCCTTTCTTCCTAAATGCAGCTGTGATTTCACATTGTTTTATTGTATTTTATCCAATATTTACATGTCTGCGTGGGAAGGTGCTTCCATGTCAGTTCAGACCCAAATTCCTTAGTGTGGTAATTAGCTGTCACCACTGTCTTTCCCACTGGCTGTGGGACCATATCTTACCATAGACACTCAATGAATGTCTGTGAATGAGTGAGAGAATAGGTCTGTGATTCTTTATACCACTTCCTAATTACCTCCTGGCTACAGCTATCACACACTAGAGTTTTTAAAAGACAGCACAGACAGGAATAGAGCACCAAGAAGATAAATTTATAACAATGAAATCTCGTTATAATACACATAGATTTAGAGATCATGCATATTTTACTTCATAATGACAGAGTTTAATACTGAAAGTGCTAACTGCAAAGAACTATCAGTAATGGAAATCTTTAATACTGCAGTAGAGCCCAGCAAGAGAGAATCTGTTCTCATAAACTCTGGGGGATGGTGATGGAAGGGTAGACGGGGAACACTTGCATTTTGTCTGCAAGCTTCTCACTGGCATTTTCACTGGCATCTGGCAACCTGAGTCCTGGCTGGCTCCCCTAATACTTGCAGTCCGCCATCATTACCTGCAACAGAGTTATGTCCTCTCCCTGTGCCGCTCCACACCCTGAGCCCCTGAGACTCAGTCCCTGACCTATCCATGCCCTTGGCTCATGACAACACCTGGGGGAGCGTCTGTCACATGGAGGAGCACGGTGAAGGTTGAGGGATCTAGCAGCTGTGTAGACATGGCAGTCTCTGGGACGTTGCACTTGGGGGTGGGAACTCTTTTCCCCAGTGTGCAGAGCCAACCTCCAGAGCTCCCTGGTGGTCTAAGGACTCAGGCAACCCCACTCAGATTAGCAAAATCTGAAGCTCCGAGCACTTTTCCATTTGCCATGGAGCCGACTAATTTAATGAAGCCGTCACAGTGCAAACCTCAGGGCTTATTGGAAAAGGACTGGAGCACGACATTATTTCACAGCAGTAGATTGCATCATTCTCATTTCACAGCTTTCCAATGGGAAATAATAAAGCAAAATTACAAACATAATGAAGAAAGAAAGGAGGGAAAAAAATCTTGGGTGAGAAACGCACCCTCTGTGCTGTGACAGGGCTGCTTACCTTCTTCATTTGAGGCAGTAAATATTACCTGGCTTCGCTCTGCAGGAAGGAGCAGCCAGGATGCCTCCACCTGCTGCTGAAGATAACAGGCTGCAATAACTCACTGTCCAGATGCAGCAAGGAGTGGCGGGCACCCCTGCAGTAGTCACTGGCCTTCTGAGAAATTCCAGCCTCCAAGAGCACAGCCCTCCCTGCATGACCAGGGGTGAAGGGCTGGTGAGGGACACCCTTGGTGGTGGTAGACCACACCGTTGCAAGGGCTAGGGGGGCGGATTGCCCTATAATCCTCCCTCTAGAAGACAAGTGGCTTCACCAGTGGGGTTTCACCCATTCCTAGGGTAGAGGAAAGAGAATGAGCCCCTGCCCCTAGTCACTCCTGCAGGTGCTTTGGTGAGCAAGGTGAGTTGACAGCTGGAGGCTAAATAGGAGTCAACAGGGAGACAAAGCTCTTTTCCAAGGCTGTTCTCATCCATCCAGCCGAGGTGTAAGATTAAGGGAGACAGCAGCTGAGCTGCTGGACCTTTTATTCTCTTCTGTGAACCTTCTTTCAGCTCCAGGAGATGTCCCTGCCTGTCCCCACGGGGTGCTGAGACTCAACTCCTTTATTCCACGCA